TTTAATATATTTTCATGTGTTTCTTCTGTAAGTAGACGTCATTTTTATGCGAAAACAACTGCATTTCCTCACTGTCCGGCTCAAGATAGCTCGTGCGTTCGCATTCCATGGATCGTCATAGTGTAAATCTGCTGGCACATCTCTATGTCACACTGTTGCCTGCAGTCCTCGTTAGCTGGTTCCTCGACTACCCGTAAGCTGCTATTTCATCCTATTCTCTATATGATCTGCTCCATGTCAACCTCAAACTGACGTCCAACTCATCGTTTTTCACTGAGCTTCCACTGGAGAGATGGCCTGACTGCGTCGTATGTCTTGTCTGTCGACTGTCTCCTCAGAGTGTTTGTGAGCCCGGTCCATTCATCGCCACCTCCCTTCTGCATATTTGTAAGTTGATAGGGTCTTTTGTCGCTTATCCATTCCCACAGGTCATCTGATCTGCAGTTTGGAGTGACAGCGAAGATAGTTGTTAATGAAATCCTGCATCAGCCTATAGGAAATGCCTTCTGTGACACGTGTACGTGTGTGTGTGCCAAGTTTCTGAACAATATAGAAGTAACACTGACTGAATGACCTAACATTAGTACAGCAGATCTTTACACTTTGATCCTGATTTTGGAATCCTGAAGTGGAGAACCTCTGGTTCGCCATAAAACACCATTCCTACAGCAACACCAATAGTGATATTCTCTATCTACCAACAGCTTCTAAGCAGTGTGAAGGACAAACTTGAGTATATGACAACTTCAGTGTCTATGTATGAATTCATGTACTCCTGCGGACCTGACTGCATAGATTGTTCCATGTGCGTCCTTTCAAAACGTGTAAGTGAACATTATCCAATATGCCTGCAAAGAGGAGACACTGGTTCAATCAGAACACCTCTTCAACACCTGTCACAATATCTCAACTAACCCTTCATTCAGAGTCTTTTACAAAGCCAGAGCAGAAATCTAATAAAGACTTCTTTTTACTGCACAAGTCTTCACCATATGCCACACATTTGAAGTGATTCTCGTGGGAATACTCAACGAAGTCTGCCTTTGAAGTGACTGAAGACGCTGGAGTAAGACAAGGTTGCCTGTTATTACTGACACTGATACTCTTGACTGAATGATAAAGCAGACTATTCAAGAGTTGGTTTGTAGGGATTTGATTGGTTACAGGATTTCATCATGAGCTAACATCAGTTAGAGAACCATTGGAAAACCTACCAGGGAGTACTGGACAGCTGTTTCGTCCTAGTTTGGGACCCTTCATCAGTATGCACCCACCTGGGTTCGAACCCAGGACCTTCTGGTTACAAGGCGAGCTCTTATACCATTAAGCCACTGGGACCCGATCCAATGGCCCATGAATTCTAACTTCTGCCAATTCACGACATAGCGCGACCCCTGGCCAATGTCTTCGGCGAGTGTTTGTCCTCACACCCAACCTGCTGCACCCTACCGGTCACGACTTCTCACTAGAACCCCAGGTACCTACCTACCTGAATAGAGCAAGTCGCAGACTATGTGTGTGTCAGGAAGGAGAAGACAGGAATACACTCAACTGAGGAAAAGAAGAGTCTAGAAGATCTCAGTCATCATTTCCTATTCATGTCTCACTCCAGTGCCTTCCATGTGTTGTCACTCAACGAAAGCCCAGTCCATCTCTCTCTCTATTTCTTTGTACATATTTCTTAGCAAACAGGTACTTGTTTGGTTCGTTGCCACAATTCATTCTTGACAATTCTTCGCTTCAACGAAGCGAAGGTAGTTTTATTAGTGAAATTCTGTAGGAAATGCCTTCGGTGATACGTGTGTGACAAGCATCTAAACTACACAAACACGCTGACTGACTCGATATTAATGCAGTAGATTTCCACACTGATTCTGCTTTTGGCATCCCCATCTGTGCCACCGCTGGGTGTAGTTGAAACGATGCTGTCTAGTGTTCGGCAAAGGAAAGAAGCAACTTCCTTCACACGCCTTCCGTTGATGACGACATTACGTAGTTATAAAGTTTTCGCATATACGTGTCAAGAAGTATTGACAAATCTCCAGCACATATTTCAAAATACCACACAGTATACACGACAGTTGATGGATACGTGTTAGATGAATGGAGGCAATCGGCAGGAAGGCTTGAACCTAGGTCTCGTGCCAATTGGCACTCGTCAGCGAGGCGTATCTGCAGTCTTGAAGGGACTCATGTCACTTCTGAGACTTGAAACCGTGCCACTCAGTGCCGTTATCAGCTATTCGGGCTCGTGATTGACCTCCTGTACTGTAGTACTGCATCGGATACTTTTGACTGGACACTAATCAGTGACTAGTATAGTGTGTCTAGTCCTTCGTTTGGTGCAGACTGAATTCTATCAGTCAGTCAAGTTTGCAATGTGGCCACCATACTAGGTGGCTTGCCCTCCCGGTACACTTTGAATTGTTGATATTAGATACAGATACGCCTTGCTGATGAGTGCCAGCTACCACGAAACCTAGGTTCAAGGCTTTCTACGGCCGACTGCCTCCAACCATCTAATACCAACAATTCACAGTGCACCGTGACGTCAAGCTACCTAGCACAATGTCTGATACAATTCAGTCTGCACCAATATACAAAGGACTAAAAACATTACAATAGTTACTAACTATTGTCCAATCAATATATATGTATATACATGTTGTTATGCTCATTGTTAGTAGATAACAATATCGGCGAAGAGGCATATAAACATGCTGTTGACAATTTTAAAACACACTGACGATATTATCAGTGAACAATGTTCATAAAATAAATAAGTAGTGAGACTTATTATTGTTATGAACAACAATAAATGCATTGTTTGTGTTAAATAACATCGAATCAATAACATCAGTCAATAGACAGATTACAGATCAGAAGCATGCGCATATATATGAGTGATAATAGACATCAACGCATAACACCAAAAACTGATTGAATATCAGATAAAATTAAGTAAAAATAATGATACAAAGCTCAAGTTGGTGTTTTAAACGCACTCGGATGACCTCTGTCCTTGTTTTAATGGAGGCCATTTGCCCAATTTATTTATTGTCACTTCGATATATGACAGAAAAACTGTTCAGTGTGCCCGGTTTTGTAGTTTGCCTCGACGGAACGAATTAATTTCCAGGTGTCAATGATGATTTCCACTACACCATTATTAAGCGTCACACAGCGGTGCAGGTGTGTTTTATTGGGCACGAAAACCTAGAACAATTAACCAATATGCCTGTCTGTACAGATGCAATTGAATTGATAGATACAGGTAAAGAGATGGCTAGCCTAAGTACTTCATCTTTCAGTTGAAGAATCACAACAGGTCGTCGTCGTCGTTGGTTATTACTTCACTCGGTAAACCACCTGGAGAAGCTTCTCGATTACAGATACAGAACAATCTATTTTCAACTCTCTCAATCATATGTTTCAAGACGAACTTTTCAGGATATATATATATATATATATCAGTCCGTAATATATATATTGAAGGTGAATTTTAAGTCTTATATGACACTGTGACAGAGAATAGTGTATTATTACTGACAGTTGCCTCTTTGCACTGTAATCGGTGGGGCTTCCAAAACGCTCTCTAAGACCTGGACTTCACACATGGTTGTCATTTTCATTCCTTTCACTTTTTCATTTCAAATAAGTCCTGATAAGTATGTGACAAATTCGTCATCAAACGAACTTTCAGTGCATGAAGAAGCACTGTCACTTGGTTTCAATTTCTCTATGCCATTAAACATCTCAAACTTGGCAATTGATTCTCAGTTTGAAAATTTGTATGATCAATTGAGTTCTCTAGTTCCTACTTCGACAAATGACCAAAGTTGGTTGAAAGTTAAATTTGCAGATATAGCACATCAATTCCGTAATTCAAGTCGGAAACTAAAAAGCATTTTAACATCAACTCATTATAAAGCCCCAAAGGAATTACGTAACAGATCCGATTTAGTTATTCTGAAACCTGACAAAGGATCTTGTGTAGTTGTAATGGACAGAAGCGATTACAAAACAAAAATGTTATCCATCCTTAATGACAAAAGCAAATTCATAGCCGATGTTCCTTCTGATGACATCAGAAAATTGGAAGGAAAAGTAACCTCTCACTTAGTAAAACTTCGTGGTATGGACGTTGTCGATAAACAGGAGTTTAATTCCTTGAAACTCATGGAATCTGACTTTCCAAACCTTTATGGATTACCCAATATTCATAAGGTTGATAATCAAATTCTACCAGTGTCACTCTCCTACACATAAATTAGCAAAATGGTTAGCTGATGTTTTAAGTCCAGTACGCAATGAACTATGTAAGTTTACTTTGAAAGATAAATACATTTGAACTTGCTGACTGTCTTGCAGATATGAATATAAAAGATGGGAAAATGTATTCATTTGATGTTAATTCTTTGTTTACTAATGTACCACTGATTAAGACTGTTGATATTCTTTGTGACTATATATCTTCTAGTTGTTTTTCATTCCCTTTTCCTTTAACTTATTTGGAAGATTTATTACTATTATGTACTGACAATGTCCATTTCATGTTTGAAGGTGAACATTTTCAACTAGTGGATGGTGTTGCCTTGAAGAGTCCATTAGAACCTTTGTTAGTGGACGTTTACATGTCTTATGTTGAGAACTTGTCCCTCGATTTAATTTCTAAATTGCCCTTCTATAGGAGATATGTCGACGATATCATTTTGATATGTGACGATCATAAAGATGTGAGTCGTCTATTAGATAGACTTAACTCTGTACAGAATCATATAAGTCTTACATGCGATGAAGAAAGTCACAACCAGCTTGTATTTTTGAGTCAAACTTGGATCGTGAAACCAGTCAGCCAGCTACCTTAAGTAAAAAGACTGCGGAGAACAGGATGAAATGGAGGGATCTGACCATCCCTGCCCCTCCCACTGCCGCAGCTGTTGAAGGCCTGTTATGCTCTATCCGTTCGGTCGGACGTAAGGGTATAACAAAAATGAAAATTATTATAACTAACATTAATATTATTATTTTTATCATTACTGAATCAATAACAATTACAGGTAACATACTACAAAATACATAAAGGCTAAACAGAGATAGACAGTGTGTGTGTGTGTGTTTGTGTAATTGAACAACTAGAAATTAGAAGAAACATCACCGGAAAACAATCGGAAAAGACAGAACTCGAAAAGATGGAAGCCTAAAGGAACTAAACCAAGTAAGTGTACCCACCTATCCACCGACGCAATGAACAGCGACAAGAACACGCAAATGAGATTACCCAACTCCATCACTAATGCAGAGGGTATGGAAGGGAGCACAATACAAACGATCACCAGTGGTAGTAGTAGTAGTAGATATCCAGTCGAAGAAACAGTCATCACCATGAGATGGCGGCGTTGTTCGTAGGTAGGTGGATAGGGGAATTCATTGACAATCATACGAGGAGAGAAAGGTTAGTTAGAAAAAAATAAATTTACCCTGATGTTCTACAGACAGAATATATACGTAATTTATTATAACAAAAGAAAAAAATAAAAGAGAAAAAATCCCAAAATATATTAAAAGAAATTTTAAAAAATTAAACAAAAAATGAGAGAGAATATGCCTATTAATGTTATTATTATTATTATTATTATGGAATATACTAAATACAGCTGTATAATATGTTACCAGGAGGAGAAAGCACGAACACTCACAGCAAAACTTGAGGCCGATTTCACTGACAAAAAATATATGTATATAAATATATAATCTACATACAATTAATTGTACAACCATTGAGAAAGCAGCAAGAATCAAATAAAAAAAAAACAAATCAAGAAGGTACATGAATTCATTTTTACCGCCATCCACACCATTAGCCTCCGCACATTTTCCTCCCTTAATGATGATTGGTTGGCTGGCTGGCTGATTGGATAATACAAAAAGGCGTTTCTATTGGGCAAAAAGGAGGGGGAGGAGGAAAGCAGGCTGCGTGGGCGAGACTTATGGAAATAAAGAATAATAAGAAACGAAATGAAAAATTGGGCGCAGGGGAGGGCGATTAAACTGTCAGACGTTAAAATGTTAAATAAGTAAAACGAAAAGTACAAGCGCAAGAAAATAAACAACTAGATAAACACGTGTGGACGGCCAGAGGCGGGGGGACTCAGAAAGCAGAAGAAAGGGGTGAATGAGAATGGAGCACAAAGAAAGGAATAGAAAACAAAAAGAACACACAAAGGCATCAGTGTGCATCTCTCTTCGTCCCAGGTTCTCATCGCTATGACTGTAGACAAAAAGCGACGACAGTGACAGCATGTGAGGTATCCATTAATCGATCGATCATGAGCGATTCAATCGATTTTTTGAGGTGTTCAAAAGCTCTGTAGTATTGTTCACATTGTTCTCCATATCAGAATCTATAATTTCCCATTTTGTGTCATCATTTGGTGGTGCTGTAGGGAAAAGCAATTCGGAGTTCTTACCGACGATCGGATCCCCACAGTGACCATTGATGATTAATCCGTTGCCAAGATCACCACCTTCGATATCATCTTCGACAGTGATACACAGCTTACTACTCTTATGATTATTATTATTATTGATATTATTATTGTTGGTATTCGTATTCAAGCCAACATGGCTGACTGGATACAGCCGACGAACAGGGAATTCCATAAGAAGAATGAAACCGGCAGACAGGAGGATGACACCACAGACATACAATGACCAAACATAGGAACCAGAGAAATCAGCGATTACACCTAAATGAGGGACCAAATAAAATTCAAAAAAACATTAAAACATACATAAATATAATTTTACGTAAGCGTAGGATTTGGGGACTGTGTGTATTGTGACTCTTAACTGTGTCAGATAACCTCACCATCAAATAAATATTGATCCAAAGGGGATAAACAGTGACTGTTTGAAGGAAATCCTACCGAGATACATTATAAATGTCTAATTCTCTTTCAATAATGAAATACATGGACGAAAAGATGGTATGATAGCTATGGGCTCCCTATTGGGCTCGTTGCTAGCAGATTTTCTCATGTCAAAACGAGAAAACACATACCTAAACAAAATGACTGACGACAGCTTTGGGTTTTGCAAGCCCTATGGAAGAGGAACTGAACAATCTGCGAAGAATCCTCCTTGAAAATGGCTACACCGAACTCCACTTCATAAAATCCATGAAGCTTAAACCACTAACACCGCTGACACTTTCTGCTGCCTAAAAACTTCTCTATTTGAATCTACAATTCAATGGACACTCATCACCAGAAATACTTAGAAACTGCCTGTCTAGACCACTGAAGGAAACCTTCTTCGCGGTTGAACTTCGACTAACTGTCTACACTATACAAAACCAATGATTTGCATGAATGTGTTAAAGACAAGCTACCACTGTTAGCCTTATCAATCTGCATTTATAAAATCACCTGTTCATGTGCAGCTACGTTTGTCGGTCGTAGCCAGCGTTTATTATTCAAACGTATCATCGAACACTCATCCACATGGTTTTATAAAGGAGGTATAAGAGCTGGACCGCCCACCATCCCCTATATCCTGAACTCTATATACAGATGAAGAAGTTTGTTCAGTGGGTCGGTGGCACAGTGTTTAGGAAGCTCGCCGACCATACATATGGTCCAGGGTTCGATCCCCAACCGAAGCCCACCTGATATCAATGGTGGGCCTGCTAAATTTGGGCTACTAATATCACATGCTGAAAATTCCATATTTTTACCAAAATATACTGTCTGGAATCAAGCTATAAGAAAATTAAAATAAATAAATAAAAATAAATCTACGACGGACCTGGTCTGTCTTGACACTGGATACATAATCTTTGTTTCTTAGCGGTATTATTTTCTTCGTTCACCCCCTTCTTCTACTAAAATTTCTAATCCTCTATTACCACTGGTACTAACTCGACTCTCATTTAATTTTAGTTGAACTCCCCTACTCAACCCTGCCAACAAATTATATTATATCACTCAATTTGCTTATCTTATTTTAGTTTCTAACTGATTTACGCTTTCCACATTGTGTAATCGGTTATCTAAAATTTACACTTCTAGTGACACATGTACATTCGGAAATACCCCTATTGTTGCTAAGAAAGTTTACTACATAATATATGTGATTGTACAACTTGAGAATGATATCGCCGAAAGGGTAACTCTCCACTGAACGCCTTTTCTTCGTCGATGTAAACGTCAACACAGGACCTTAGAATCGTTTTCATATTATCTTAAGTGCATAAATACCAATGAAGAATTATTATTATCACTGAATAACGAGTCAGAGTGGTCCAGAAATTGATTTTAGTGATCAGAAAATAAAGGAAGTAGTGAGTAACTGAAATTTCACAAAGTGAAAAAAAATCAATCCTTGTTTTCATGGGAAACAAAGTAAGCAGTTGGAGGGGGAAAAACCAAAAACAAAACAAAACAACGCGAATACTCTCGGCCAGTCAACCAGCCAGACTTACCCATAAGAAATTGTCCTGGAGAGATGACTAATCCCAGAATGACCATTGTAATGGCAAGCGAACGTGCCAACTGGCCAGAGCCAACCCAGTCTGTCAGTACAACAACCATTTGTGTCATAGCTGTACCACTGCATATCCCGTGGATAGTGAAGCAAAGGTAGTACAGCAGTTTAATTGTCACCGAATCATCATTCTGTGGACTGTTTGCCTGAGAAATAACCCCCCCCCCAAAAAAAAATAAGTAAATTATAATTATTTATTTCAAAAGTTTACACAGAATGATAGGTTGTTCTTTTTGGTAATATTTTAGGTAAAATTATTGCCCGTGATTCCAACCCTCCCTAAGAAGACACCACCGCCAGCCAAGTATGTCCACAACCACTCTGGTTGTTGTACTAAGCACTGGGACTTTCTCTTGTATTCGCCTTTTTTCATCCACTCACTTTTGTGAACAGTGAAGTTCCACGGAGAGTGAGGAACAGGACTTACAACACAAGAAAATTGCATGAGAAGAATAAAGTAAAACAGACTCATTACTGAACAAAGAATATTCTTTTCGATAACCTGCTCTTCATCAAGTCCTACAGTTATATATCCATCGAAATTAATCAAGGAATTAGGCTTATTAACAACATCGAATCAATCAATAATATGAATAGATTACAGTTCAGTAGCATAAGTGTGATAACATGTATCAACACATAAGACTACACTGGTTACTTTTCAGCCAAATTAGGAGAAATAATAATACAGAATTCATGACTTTATAGGCTCCATAGAAAGCCAGAGCAGTAATATAGTGGATGGCTGGACCTATTTATTCTGCAAACACATGCAGAGAACCGATTGTTGTTTTAGGCAAATCACAATAACCCCTGTGCTGTTTGGTAGAGTATTCGGTGGTACCTGGATGCTTTTGGCAATTACTTTGGTAACCTCGATAGATTATGATAAAGGGGAGGATTTCGCAACGCTATCTAGCTTTGTGACAGGTCAGTTCGGACCAGATGGTCATCTAATATCTAACTGCTTTTGATCGTTTCCAGTGCACCTTTATTTAGCCACACTCGTAGGTGTCCCCAAGAGAGCACGAAAAATCAAGTTGTTAGTATGCAAAGACCAATATAACTTGCTCCTCCACAGGAGTAGATGAAGAATAAATTAGATAAAATACAAAAAAACATTCCTTTTTCTCGCCTACACACACTTCAACACCATGGCATGCAGTGACCCAAATCTTTATCAACCTCATTCAACAGCTAACGACATAAAACAATAGCACGTGTCAAGTGAACCCAGCGAAAAACTCAGTGAAGCCTTTAAAGGAAATACAGAAGTACAACAAGACTATCTGCCTATTATCACCAATGATATTCCGAATTGTGGTGAACTGGATTATGCGGCACATCGTGAGTGGGGACCGGGAAAACATGAATACACTCAACCAATAAGATTATTCTAGAAGATGTGGATTTCGTTCGTGGAAGATTCATGTCTAATGTCACAGAAACTCGAAGACTTATTGAAGAAAACCAAAAAACTGGCTGAAAAGGCTGACAGTGAAGACAGGACTCCAGGTGAACATACAGAAGACGGGGGTGATGCGGATAACCAACTAACCAGCACTGATTACAATCAATGGGGGGGAAATTGAAAGAGGGCACTTCCTCCACTTGTCCCGCTATGGAGGACGCATCGTTTCAACCACAGCCAGCGGAAAGGAAGAAAATGTCAAAGGCAGCCAGATTCGGAAAGGTAAGACAGACCTTTATCACTCCGAAATCGGTCTGGAAATCTTCTCCAATCCGCCAAAGCAGAAATAACAAGATCCAGATTTTGTTCAGAACAAATGTTAATTCAGCAAGTTGTTCCATATGGATAAGAAACCTGCACTGCGTGTCACAAGAAGCATTTCCAACAGCCAGCGGCAAACTTCTATCAACAGCTGTTCCCTCCGCTGGCTCCAAATTGAAGATCAGATGGCCGACTGACAATAAAGAATAAGCAACAAAAAACCATGGGAAGAAACTAACAAAGAAACTACCGTTCATCGAATATGTAGGAGAAAATAGAGATGGATCGCGTACACACTGAGAAGACCACGAAGTGACATTGCGCACCAGTCAGGCCATCCCTAGAGCGGAACCCAAATGGGAGACGACGAGTGGGGTTTTCTAGGGTGGTATGAAGGAGATCGTGTGGCGAGGAGAGGATGAAAGATTATGGGCAATCGTGAGGCTAGCCAGCCAGCTAAAGAAGACAGTAGAAGACAGAAAGAAGTGGAGGTGTGCTCCGGTTGGAGCCCTATGTTCCACTCGGAACCTAAGGCCATTATAATACAACAATAATAATAATATACACAATTCACACTTACATGATATTTTCCCGACAAGAGATGTAGCTGTGAGAATGCAAAAGCATTCAACCCTTCAACCAACCAAGTAACACCCAACAATAATCCCCGTCGGCCAATACAAATTGTTCTGTCGGTTAGCCAACCCACACCAAGACGTGTGATGAGATCTCCGACACCAGACAGTGCAATAGCCCGATTGATCTAATGAATACAAATATATTGTAGAGAAAAATCACTTAAAAGAACACAAGAAACTAACAAAACGACGTAAACAGCGAGGAAAATCTCCCTTTTTTCGACGATTCATCTTCATAAGGTGCTGTGTATACTCATCGCCGGAAATCGCAACTGTTCCTAGTAAAACTCTCTTTTTTCATGAACCCGGGATTCAAAAGTGACATTGAAGCAGAAATTTTTAGAATAAGATACCACCGCCCTTGACCACCTTAATGGGTACTTATCGGTTTACTTCCTCGTGCGGAACAAAGTATATCGGCCGTATCCAACGTCAAGTCCACAAACGTGTTCTGGAACGCTGCGCAGCCTGACTAGCCAACCAGGGGAGAAAAGAAGAATACCAGAAGCTCTATCCTCGAACATACTGTCAACTCTGGACATCGAGCAGCCCCACCTGCATCACTGTTCCCCAGTGCTACACAGAGTCCCTCATTATCACATGAAAAGATTTCGAATAAGCCAGCTATACGAAGCTGTATCACACGACGCCCTAGCTGTTCGGGATCGGGAAACCGGACCTCTGATTTCAAAAGCACTACATACATTCACTCGCCCTACCATGACTGCAGTAACACAATTATATAGATTAATCATTTTATCACACCTATTACGTCATTCCAACTTCTGCCCCTTACTTTTCTTATCTCCAATTAGTCATCCCCTCCTAGATTGCACCTCACAACTTATGTAATGCATTCTCCAGAACAAATTTACCAGTATCTGACCGATTGGTAAGAACCAATGGCTGGAAACAATCGGTGATATGGCTCAAAATCCTCGTTCTCAATGGTGCAGATGCATCTACTCCTTGTGATTTCTAATATCCAATAAGATTCTATTGTTCTTCCATATTACTGTTTTTTTTGCTGCATATTTCTGTTTCTCATCTCTCTCTTCACCCCTCTCCTCTTACTTTTTGTGCTACAAGGACGGAGTGCGGCAATCTGAACTGCTGCACATCTGTGCGAAATATTACTTTGAAACCAGTCAGCCAGACTGATTGGTGTGTCATGAATTCCTTGTTAAATCAAATAATCGACATCCCTCCATGATAAGGCTGGCTGGCTGTCTGGATCACATGTGGAAGACCGTGTGTGTAGGGAGTCAGAAGACAGGATAAACGATCCTTTGAATCTCAAAGGCAAATGTTCCATTTTGTCCTGTTTTCTCTCTACAGTCCTCCTTTAGCCAACCGCACGATTACATTTCCTCCTCCACGATCTCATTCATTTCAACGTGAGACACACCAGACCATTCGGATTTCACCCCATTCAATGGTACATACACTGTCGCTGAAGAGTCAATTGAGTCTCTTATCCGTTTGTCATCAATCATTCTTGAAATAAATAACAAGAATAATACCAGTTTGACTTTTCTCTCAAATTTCCTCCTAGAGACGAAATTCCATTGAGATGCCAAAAATGAACAAGTGAGTACACACATATCCACACGCACACACACACACACACACACAGTCTGGTTAGACGCAGACAATGCCAACTAGATCACCACAAACAATAATAATGAAGCACACAAACGAAGAAAAAAGGGAGTAAATGCCAGAGGCGCACAAAAGGAATGTCAGACTCTCATTAGTGAGAAACAAGAAAGAATGAAACAATCTTCGTCTACTTTTTCTGGTCATCAGACAAACCACACACACACACAAGCACACATACACAAGCATGACAAACCAAGTAGACAAAGCACTGCTTGACACACACACTCACACCACTAGAGATATAAACTTATACACAATAAGTATAGAAACAAGACAAATAGCAGTATTAGTGTAGCGTTTGCTACTGACAAGATCTATCAGTAGTATATATATACATCAAGAGACATTCTTCTACAATATCAAATAACAGAGAGATAGGTGCTTCTGACGCCAAAGAGAGAGGAAATATACCAGCCAGTGTATTGTGACAAAACATGAGAGACACGAAGACAAACAGAAACACAATACGAAGAGCAGAAGTGGCACAACCCGGAAGATCTGTGCAAATGATCATTTAAATATAAGGTGGACATAATTTCCCTATATAATACGGATATCAAATTCCAAAAAAACATCTCGTTAGCAAGTCTCCTGTCTTTTAACGTCATATTTGGTGTCGCTGCCACCAGATAATGAATATTCCATTGCCGGCTGCTTTCAGGTAAGGAGACATCAAGAGCTTCTTGCGGGACTTCCATGCAGTCGCTGGGCGAAGGCAACTGTGATAGTGACGTCGGGAAATGACGGCCTACGATAGTGTTCAGCGGTCAGGTGAGAAAGAGACCTGGAAGGTATTGCTTTGAACGATCGGTGGCGAAGTTCGACAGCCCGACGGACAGGCACCTGGCAATGCAGAAGTTCCGTGCCGCAAAGGTGGTACCAGACGGAGACCCGTTAGTACTGGCGGTGAAACTAACGAATCTACCAAGTCGTGTACTCCCCATATTGGATGTAGATTCAGAATCGCAGTTATTGACTTTCCACTTCACTACCAGCGTTCCAGACGACATTGCTCAGCAACTACATCTGGTTATTGCTGCACAACTTATGGGACCAGACAGCTGTAGAACACAATGGCAGCCGCAAAAAAGCCACTGAAACTGAACGAATGCCAACAGACAACTGTAGATTTGCAGCGTGAAGTAGCGGTGCTACGAATGAGCGCCAGGAAAGATGACCGCTTTGAATGTGGCAAAGCAGGAAACTGGAGGAGGTACTGCCCATTAAAAAGAAGAAGAAAAAAATTTCAGACGGCTTAATCTTCTCTTCTCTCTCTCCTATCACAGTAGAAGTAGTTGAGTCTATCGAGAGAGGGGCCATGTATTCTAGGTTGACAGTCAATGGCCGAGAAGTAGTATGTTTAATGGATACATGGGCGGCAGCCTCACTAATATAAAATAATCGATTTCAGAGCCGTCGACCGTGTTCATTGACAGTTTAAACAGTAGGTGGACACGTATTAGACATGTCAAACTGTAGTGTTCTTGTTGGCAATCACAAACAAACCATGTATATGACAAGGCCTTTTCTTTTCGTTTCCGGTATTACTACACAAGACAATGGAAACAGAGAAATCAGCGCATTGACAGACGCGCAGACATGTATAGAGACAAATTGATACACAGAGTGTGTGTGTTTGCATGATCATAAACAACACACAAGATCTTGGTTCACATTCTGTCTCTCTTTCGCATTCTTCTCCTTTGTATGACCACGTTTGTAACTCTCCTTGTGTAAATACTAACTACTGTCTGCTATTACTGATACTGGTACAGAGTGATGTAACATTACATTGCTAAACTATGTCACCCCACCCTCTTCACATTTATCTAACCTCTGCTATTATATATATATATATATATATATATATATAAAAAAGACTAGTACACTTCCCACCCACCTCTAACAGACAAATACAAAAAACGGTGAAAAGTCATTTGAAAGTTTATCAGACTAAAATTTTATTTCATTTTTCTTTTCTTTTTGATAGGTATCAGGATAATAAGAGTAAAGAAAGAGAATGACAAATAAACAGAAGAATATAATTTCATGCAACCGGTTCCCTTTATTAGTTTGAAGAGAGAAAGAATGAACATGTGAAGAAAGCAAGCATCTTTGCATAAAACTATGCCCTACTTATTGATTGGGATGAGTAGTTGTACACGGTCATTGAAATCAACCGGTAGTACTTGATAGCTAACCAGCTAGCCAACCAAATAGAGTTGATCTAAACACCAAGGGACGACCGTTTCGCCTGTGTTGACGCCGAACTCACCAGCGGTGTACCTGCTTTGACTAAGCTGTTCAGAGAGAAGGCCAAATCACCGGTTGAAACAACACCCTTGATTTCTGGCTACCTACTTTGTCGAACAGCTTCAAATAATCCTTTTTTATGAAGTTTATATTTCCCTTTCCCTTGAGCTGACTTCACACAACTGCCCCCATAGGCTTTCAATTTTCTAATTTTTCAACAACACGCTCTCCTCCACACAACCAGCCTCCAACCAAGACAGACGCACACAACACAACTCGTCGTTTTGCGTTCGCGATCTTTGCAATCCAACTGATTTTATTCAGTAGGGAACAAGCGAAAGCAACCATAGGTAAAAATCTGAAGTCTGTTCAAAAGTACTGACTTGAGATAAGTGTTGAAAATCCGACTCTTCTTCTTTATACTGAGTGTGTGTAGTAGATATTCATATTGACTTTGAAGTAATGAATGTCGCGGTCTTGGCTTTCGCATTTTTCATCTCTGTATAGCCGCCGCCTGTAGTCAAGACGATACTACACAAAAAAGGTAAGTGAAACAGGTAACATCCTACAAATTTCTCCGGTTGTCAGTAGTTTCGTGCCTTCACCACATCTGTCTACCTTCTCTATATTTAGTTGAAGTGTCCTGTTCTCACTGCCATCTCTTTTATCAACTTGTTATTGGTTTTCACCTATTAAGATCTCCTTTGAGTTTGTGTGCCATGAGGCATGAACCACCACCCAGTAAATCCAAATCTTTTAGAGTCTTCTTGGCGGTTCAGCGGATTCAGTTTTCCCACTCGCCCCACGCCTGGGCTGCCGAATGATCCAGTCCACTACAAACAGCAATATTATCGGTGACGGAAGGCAGCCTTGTCGCTTCTAAGATTCGAAGATAGGTCACCCAGTCAGTGTTACACAGTCAGAGACATGACCGTCCACCACCACTGAGCTATTCACAGGCTTACAAGCGATTAACATTCTCCTCTCGATCATTAGTTCCTTACAAGATCATAAACACTAAACACACTTGATGTGTCGATTTTCTCTGCAATTTACAGTAGAAAGAACCATGAATCATGGTTCATGGGATCTTCTTCGTTCGCATTCATGTTGCCCTTATTCTTCTTCTTTGTGTCCATGTGTGTGTGTGTGTGTGTTTCTCCCTCAGTAAACGCACCAACCTAACGCCCACCTACTCATGCTGCTAGTAGTATGATGTTATATTGACATTATTCCTGAATCTCATCTCTGTCACTGTTGTAAACTATTTGACCTCCACCAATATGCGTAGACAGACTTTAACAAAAGACAATAAAAAGTCTTATATTGATTTATGTAGACTCAGACACTCTGTATACACGTGTAATCCTCCAAAAGGCCAACCACCACCCTTATCTAGCCTACCTAGACAAACATACTAACTAACAAACGAACAAACAAAAGAAAAACCAACACGAAGAAAAGTCATTTCAAAGTTCAACTGCGACTGAAATATTTTGTTTTACGACAGTTGTCAAAATACTAAGAGATTAGAGACAGAAAAGGTGAATGAAGATATGTGAATGTGAGATTATATATACATATATACATGTATATATATATATATATATATATATATATCTGGATTCAGGATAAAGAAATCATGTGCTGATCAAATGGCAACTCTATGCATTATCACCATTGGACAAAACACAGAATGACACTTAAATCTCACTCTGCCTCGATTTCATCGAATAATTAGAAAAGCCCCTCCCTCAACAGACAGCGCTGACCACGAAGTAATTTGGGAACTACTTCAACATCATAGGGAGTGGAGTGACCACATCTTCATCAATCTCATTCACAGTCACAGCTGACAATGGCATGTGTCAGATTATCCACAACAGAGAACTCAACGAAGACAGAAGTAAGACAAAGCTGCTGCCTGTTATCACACCAGCGATGATATTCCTAATTCGTGGTGGATTATTGGATTATGCGATAATCGTACGAGGAGTGTGAGATGATAGTAATATCTTGAACCGATAAGAATACTCCAGAAGATCTGGACTTTTCGAGTGATCTATATCTAATGTCACGAAAATTCGAAGAATTCCAGAAAAAATCAACAAGTTAGCAGAAAACGCTTATGATAAAAAGACAGGACTTTAAGTGAACGCAGGGAAGACGGATGTGATAAAAATAACCACCACCACCACCAACAACAACAGCAACATTAAACCAATCCCTGTCAACGGGAGAAATGTGGAAGAATTGACTTCCTTTACTTATCTATCTAGGAAGCATTGTTACAACTACAGTAGACACTAAAACTGAGGGTATCAAAACCAGACAGGATCGGAAAGGCAAAGTACACCTTCATCAATCTGTAGATGCATTCACCCTTTGTGTGATTTGTCAATTCATCCAATAAAACTACTCCTTTTCTTCTCGCATATTACTACTATTCTTTTTCCCCAACTCACATTTCTGTTTATCATTTCTCTTTTTGGAATTTCCTTCTACTCCCTCTTCTCTTACTTTGTGTGGTACATGGTATGGCAAGTGGAAGTTCTGGACATCTGAGTAATGTAGTTCTATGTGAAAACTAGTCAGTTAGACCACGTGTTGATAAGATGAAAACTTATGGGACGATTATGTAACCAGAGTGAGAGAAATTACACAAAGAGTGAATACAACATCCAGCCGTTATTGCTTCTTAACATCCCGAGGACTCCTGTCAGTCAGTCAGGCAGTCTACACCTCCCTCCCTATGTGACTGTTTGAAACCGATTATCAAAAAATTCATGGACTAATGATATCAGGTCTTTGGTTTGACTGACCACTCCACTCCACTGCATCTCACTCTTGTCCAACCACATAATCCTATGTCAGCGCAACTGATGACATAACACGACGATTTCCACCCTCCTTACGCAATTTTCAACACTAAGTCCTTATTATGACTCACTATATCATGCATAGTAAGACGATAATAGGTAGAACGCAAATACCTACGGTCATAGATCGCTAGATTCTTTAGGTCTACGAACGCGAGGAGCAGGGTGAGTGTCGTTCAGGTCACTGGGAGGCATCGATCATGTATACATCCTACGTCAGTTGTTGGACAGAAATATTCTCTGGAACTAACTGTTAGACAAGGATGGGTGTACCTGCGAAATTTGTTAGCATTATGAAAAAGGCCTGCACAGAAATACCTCAGTGATATCTGTCATCACTGTCACCAACCAACAGTGTGGGGTTAAACAAGGTTTCCCAATCTCTTCACTTCTCTTTTAAGTTTGCCATTTATGACATTCTGGTGGAGCCAGCTCTGAAGCAAGTACGTGGTAGTGGTGTATATCTTCTTCCTCAAAGAAAGACTTTCCAGCCTCAAATATGAAAACGATATATCCTTACTATTGTGCGATAGATAGAATGCAGGCTGCCCAAGTATCACTTAATCAGTTGGTGACCACTGCCTATAGGTATGGTATGTACTTTGGGCCTTCTAAGTGTAAAATACTGTTACAAGATTGTCAGGAGCCTGTACCTAACTTCATTCACGCTTGCGGGTGGTGGTAGGGATGTGTAGTGACTTAGCTTATTCAGTCATCACTGTCTCCATAGATCTGTTGCTTGCGTTCCATGACATCATCGTGTGAGTAATTCGAAGGTCAAGCAGCGTGTTTTTGCACACAGTGGAGATCGCCACTCAATCATTGAGTGTCGTTGTGATCTGGAAACACCGGGGCTTCGCCACATTGGTGGACATGTGCTACGAATGTCACCACATGTTATCATGGGATGTGAAGGACACTTGTGTTAGGTTAGCGTCATCGGTCAGTGCATCACAACTCCTCCCCTGGTTAGGGTCCGAGGGAGATAGCTCGAGTCGGTGGCTGACCTAAACTGTTAATTGTCGGATATGGCCAAGAATCACAGTCATCAATGGCAAACGTGCTGCTGCAATTTCCTTCTTTCTTACCACCCTGACAATAATTTGACGAATGGTCTTGTTTTGTCTTGCTGAATATAGTGGCTGCTGGCTCTCTGGACGAAGTCGTTAATTCATTCTCTATCTATGTTTCTTTTCATGTATAGTATAGTCACTATTATTCTTGCTGCCTTTACCGTACCACTTTCAATGAAGGGCGGAAAGAACTGTTGCACCTGAGCAGTACACACACATCCTTTGACCAATAGCCAACCCCATCTGGAGATCACGCCTAGCACACCAAAGATAACAAGTGAGATGCAAGCATTTAATAATAATGATACTAAAAATATTACTGAAAATTCACTTACTGTGGTAGAACTTAGCACTAATTCCGTTCCAAACACAGGCGCGATGAACGATACGCTCACATCGCCAACATCCCCAAACGCTTTAGCCACTATATATACAATCAATAATGCACGTGTTAGCCGTTTTCCATTACGAGTTGTTAACGATAGTACAGAAGAAGTAGAGGCTCTTGACAATGAGGATGTCGATAAAACATCGACTGACAAACCAATATTCTTCCCTGAATGAATAACATCTCTGATGAAAAAAAGGAAGAGGAACAGAAAGAGATTGATTACAAATTAATATCAGTTAGAGAACCAATGAAAGAGTAAAATAAATGCAAAAAGTGTATTGCAGAGATGTTTCGTCCTTGATTGGGACTCTTCATCAGTAACACAGCAATCATTGCCCCATCACACTGAGGAGGTGGGGGTGATCGAACTAGCCAGGACGTTTAAGTTACACAAGCTGGGCTCATTGACCATTCAGTTTACTCGGATGGAATTCACTGATGACGCTGACTAGCAATAGCGCTAAAAATTGTGAACTGAATAATTAAACGACCGTCAAGTACTCTGAAGGCTTTGATCCCTGTTTAATGGAATCAGGAGTGTGTGTGTGCACGCATAACTGGTGTCCGTGAAACAATGAGTGCCGATTGGACTCATGTTTCAGCAGGAACGTCTTCACTAACTCACTGGAGTGGGAAATAGGAAGACAGAGATAGAGAGGGAGCGTGAGCACGTACATCAAATCAAACAAAGGGCTAGATATACACGACGCTAGTTACTATGCTAGTGTCCAATCATCTAACTGGCGAACGGAAAAACTTGGCTTCTTCCACTGGATAGATAGTCAACCATCTACCAAATTAACAAAATATACTCGAATAACACATTGCTCAATTCGAATGCTCCACGCACACACACACACACACACACACACAGCGACAAATAGCATGATCGAAATAGCACAAAACCACGCACCAAAATGGAACAGAGAGATTACTTAATTTTGAAAAAAATAACAATTTTCATTGAGCCGTTTCTACTAAAACTCATACACGAATAAATCAATCACATCGTAAGAGGTGATATTTTTTTTCAGAGAAAGAAACTGAGACAGATTGGTTAAAGTCAAAAAACGGTAAAACAATTTTCATCATGAGGTAAATTGTTACTGCACACATACGCATAAATTGAACACCCATACAGACGCACGTAAATGCACACCAACGAACACTACACTTAACTTGTGATACAAATTTAGAAGGCACTGAAGTCTTTAGTTGATAATCATGTTTGTATCATATTTCGCTTTATTTATATTCTTAGTATATTCATGGATATGTGAGCAGGTATTTCGACATTGCATTGTGTGATAACATAGTGTCTAAGAAGTAGGGTAGCCTAACTAGCTAACTACCTGTTTAACTGCCTGACTTCTCAATGTAACAACTTTAGGAAGTGTGTGGGCGGTCGTTACTCCCCAGATGTCCACACCATGGGAGTTGATTTTCTCTTCGATGGGTAACTTCAAATACAATTTGGAGTATTAGAGCCCAGGGGGAAACTACTTGAGGCCAGCCGGTTACACACGACTTGGTTGATGAACTGGCTTTTAGCTTTGGTTCCGTAATATTAACTTTACCGCCAGCCGCAGACCACCGTAGGATAGGGTTAGTCACGATGTACAACCTTTAGGGTCGACCTTTACTGACTGTTCTCCAGAGTGGAGAGAAAGCATAGCTGACTGGCATGCTGGTGATCTGCGTAAGGGAAACACCTTACCGCTGTTACATCCCTGTTCCCCAGCAGTATGAATCCCACCCCACACACAGACCCCAAACACAATGTAAACATCTTAAGCATTATGCCGGTAACTGCTTTTAATATAATCGCTATCCTAAAATTCCTCCTAGAGTGGTAGGACCTGCATGAACTTTAGTTCCAGCCAGTGTAGCTTGTCGAGTCATTGCGAAATGCAAGCCCAACCACCAGGTTAAGGTAGCACTTGTATCGACTCTTAGCTTAGAGATAGACAGGAGTGAGTTGTTAACAGCTTCATTTATTTCGGAAGTTGCATCAGCCCCCCGGGGGACTGATTTCTAACAAAATCTGCGTTTTATTTCCCGTGTTTGGCACTATAATAGGGTGAGTAATATTGAGATGGTTAGGAGTCCAGTGCTAGGCAGATGGGAGAGGAAATCAATCTATGAGATTGTGAAGCACCTCCGCATTGATTGAGATGGTTAGGACATGTGTTATGCATGCACATCAAGTCATCACCTTCCTCAACGGGAAACGTTAGACGCTGGCATAGGATGAAGTTGGAATGGTGATCAAACCAAAACATGGCTGCTGATTAGCGCTGCTTAGTCTTCTGAAATATACCCTACCACCAGCCAATCATCATCAAACACTGATTTATTTTTCTAGAGAGAAACACGAAAACAGGTTGGTTACAATTTTTTTTTAAACAGCAAAACGATTTTCTTCAAGTGTTTGTTACTTCACACACACACACACACTCATACACGCAATATGAACATCCAAACAAACGCACGTACGCGCGCACACACACACGAACACTACACACGACTTGAGATAGAAAATTTAGAAGGCATTGAAGTGCTTAGATTATCACATCATGTTTGTATCATTTTTTTGGCAAGAGTCAAGAATAGACACCATACAGATGAATGACACCTTGAACCAACCAATCAAGATCGCGCTCTGCATTACAACAAATGGATGCTTTCCTTCATCTTTGTTGCAAGCTTCATCCTGTTTCAGGGTGGTTAAGGGGTTGGTGTAGGATTGAGGTCGGTTTATGATTACGATTAGGGTGAAACTTGAAAGGAAGATTATGAAATGCTGAGACATTTGATTGGTTAGTTGAATGTCATTTGACTGTGGTATTCATTCTTTACTGTTGCCCAATTTTGTTTCATTTAGATCCTTAGTATATTCATAGGTATGTATGTGTAAGAGGTACGATAACCCGACTAACTAACTGACTCAATGACTAACTGCCTGACTTCTCAATGTAACAACAACATTAAACATTTGAATGGATCTGTAAGTTAGACAAAGAGATCTAAGCTTAATGGTGGTCCTATGCTCGACGACATATTCTTGCAAAATGTCAGACGATGAACTCACCTATACTCATCTTCTTGCTTAAACGATATGGTCTGCAAATGTGAACGAACTTCAGTTCACTTGAGAAGTTAAAACAAATACATAGGTATCACTCAATGCCCTACTTTTTCACAGTTTGTTGTTAACTCATGCATTTTCCCTGTTGTTCATTATCACTGCCACCATCACCCCCCCCCTCCATCCTCTTCAGTCTTTCCTGGACTACTCGAAAAGGACTATGTCATTATTGAGGAGAAAGGTAATGTAAGGTTGTCAGAGTGGGGCAAGTAGTCTGTCATTAAGTCACCTCGTTACTATGGTAACGCTGAACTACTACTGTAACAAATTCCATGATGTGAAACTCAGTCAGTTTGTTTGCACGGATTCGATCTGACCACAGATTGATATGACAGTTGGAGGACTACTGAAAACCACCAAAGAGGGAGTACTGGACAGTTAGTTGTTTCGTTAGCCTAGTTTAGGACTCATTACCAGTATGCACCCATCGGGTTTCGAACCAAGAACCCTGCGAGCTCGTAGACCACTCATCAGCAACTAGGACCCGGCTCAATGGCCAGTCGATGAATTCTAACTTCTACTAAATCGCGATGATTTTAGCGCCACTAGCACCAGCTAATGTCACCTGCGGCGAGTATTTGCCCTCACTCGCAACCGGGTGGAATCAAGTCCCAGTGGCTGAATGATCGTCAACGGGTATGCCTTGTAACCTGAATGTTCTCGGTGCTTCGAATCTCTGCAGTGAGTGCCTACGGTTGATAAGTCCCAAACTAGCTAGAGAAGACGAAACAGCTGTCGAGTCTTAGGATCACTGACATCACAAGATTCTCGTAAGCACAGACGTTCGTCATAATTCCTTGCGTTTCACATTTCAGTAGTACACTAGTGCCTTTTTTCTTACGCGGTAAAGTTGTCAAATTCATGCATGCCCAACCTTCCTTTTTGGCCTACAACATACCTACCTAGCTACCTATCTTATCGACAAGTAAACTAGGCATCGTTTAGGCGTTCATCAGTCAGTCAGGAATCGAACTCAAATGAGAAGGTGGTCAATGTCCAGTCTCGAAATAAACCAACTAGGATTGACTTCCCCGTAAAATACAGCCCACTATTCTCTATTGATCATGATTATAGACTAATTGACGCATCCTTGGTGATTTACTTTGTAGTTCACATGCTTGCGTGTTCAACTAAGCGTCCTTACTTCAGTCTGAGCCCATCACGAAATACATTACACTTAGTCCCGCTCCTGCTGCATGTCTGAAGAACAATCCAGTCAATCAATGAGGTATAACTTTTTAAAAACACACATAATAACGATTAAAAGCTAACCAGAAGAAAACTCAGACTTACCTTTGATCATCTAACTTTGAGAAAAACTCATCCACCGGGTTATTCAGTGTTGAATCCTTGCCACCAACACCGTCGTCTTTACCATCTTGTGAATTATTCAACGAATCCATAACAGATAACAACTGTTTGCCTTCTTTCGATTTCGCCTTTTTATGTGAATTATTATTTTTACTTGTTTTACTATTATTATTATTACTAGTACTGACTTCCGCCGGTGGGGGGGCATCTGGATCAATGATATACCGTGGCATTAATGCGGCAGTCACAAGTAAATGTAAACAGATAGCTGCCATAACAACTGCGCCACCTCTAGCTCCATATGTTACATTCAAATGGGTAATCAGTGTGGGAAATACCATTTGACCAACACTAACACCAGCCACACTAATCCCATTTGCCAGGCCCAAATATCGTTTAAAACAGCAACCGACAACAGCGAATACAGTAAAGTATATACATGACAGTGATGCACCTGGAGTGCAGAGGAAAGGGAAGAAGGGGGAGAAAAAGTACACAGAGAAGAGATTATCTCAACTGTTTGACAAACGTTAGATATATCAACTATATATATGGAAATTATGTACCCTTTATATTAAAACTATCATTTGCACAGATTTTCCGTCCTGTGCGCTACTTCTTCCCCCTCAGTATTGTGCTTTCATTTGTCTTCTTTTTGTGTCTTTCATGTTTTGGCGCAATACACCAGTTGGTTTATTTCCTCTCTCTCTCTCTCTTTGACGTCATATCCATCTATCTCTGTGCTATTTGACATTTTTGTGTGCCGATGAACATCTCTCTATATACTACTGATAAATCTTTCCCCGTTTCCTTATCCCACTGAATATCCATTTCTGCAGTTGGCTGACGTTAACCCCCGTTCCTGTTTACTTCCTCTTTTGATGGTATCTACAGAATCACATCTCTCGGTGACGGTGTATGATCTCTTCATCATATTGAAGAAAAAACCGTCTTCGCAAGTGAACTTTGAGTAACTCTGTGTGCGTGTGTGTGTGTGTACATAACCAAGGTATAACAGCTCCTGTGGAGGTGGGTGTGTCCGGCTGTGCTCTGTATTTTTCATCCAAAGGTATCATCGACTATTCACTATCACACCTCAAGGCTGAAACAAAGGTGGAGAAAGATAACCCCTCCCCCAGCTCTATTCTGTAAAACACCTTATCAGCTCTAAACACTGAGGGGACTCAAAAACCAGGACTTCAACAACAGCGGAGACCCGTCTTCAATTAATCCTGTTTTCCACAGTAGTCTTTTACTTTAGCCGGCTCTACACATATTTGCCGCATATTTGCCTCATCTCTTTCTCACTTCACACAACCCACTCGAGACTTTGCCTTAGCTGTATGTGTGTCTGTGTGTGGTATTACTTTAACGGTCTATTCAGTGTGCGTCCAATTCTTTTTATTTCTAGTTTCTTTGCCGTTTTTTTATTCATTTTCGTCCCCAGTGGAACATATAGCTTGAAGCTACAGCTTCGACATTTCAGTAACAGTGGTGTTTTTACGGGATGGGGTTGCTAGCCTCACACCCAACCTTCCATTTTTATCGGGGTTATTATCAGCTTAGCGAGGTTTGAAAGTATGTCGACCGGGGATCGAATCACGGACGACGCGAATGGCAGGTAACCATTCTACCTCTGCGCCACCAACGCACCTTTGAAGGCAGTAATAGTAGCCGAAATTCCTTCTCCTCACTCCCCCCCCCCAAAAAAAAAACTAACTCAAAGTGTCATATCAAAGTGACTCGTTATCAGTACGCGCCCATCCCACTGCGATTTGAACGCACGACCTTCTGGTTACAAGGAGAGCTCTTTGACCACCATTAAGGACCCGATCCAGTCCAATGATCCATGAATTCCGACTTCTGGTAATTAGGGAGTCTTTGGTTCACACACTAGTGGATGTGTGTGCACTTCGAAGAGTCCCAAACTAGGTGGAACGGAACAGATATCTGGCAGTACTCCCAGTCGGTTTCCCAATGATTCTTTAACTGATATCAGCTCATGACGAAGTTCTGTAGAAAATTAAATCCCTGAATACGAACAGAGATTTGAATCTGACAGACTTTCATTAACAGCTGTCCTGTTCCCTGGCCCCATATATACTGAAGACCAAATGGCCAGCCGACCAGAAAGGATTAACAACAGAACGGAACTCTGGCAACAAGGCAACTACAACCAATCAGCCCTCTAATAAAATATACCGATGAAAATGAAGGTGGATGGATAGATCGGAAACACGCCGAGGAGGCTGTTGAGTGTATTTGATTATCGAAACAACAACGGATCAGTGGGGTTCGAGATACAATGGTGGTAGTAACATCACTCGATCACTCACTCACTCAATCAGTCAGAATGAGGTTACCTTGAGCTGATGAAAGGCGTATCCTGGATCCCACAACCAGCTAGCCCCACAACTAACAAAATAAATGACCTTTTCTCTCGAGTGTACAAACCACTCACTCCATAATACACAAGAAGGACGAACACAATCCCGATAATTTGAATTCCAGTTGTTAGATTTCCACCACGCATCAACGGGATCACTTAGAGCACTGGAGAGCTTTCTCGTTCCCAACATAGTTTGTGACACACCTCAGGAATACGCGACCTCCCCCCAACCAAGGAACGAACTACCACCTGGAACCTTCAGGGGTGGTTACGAGAACAAGCTTGTTGACCACCACCATTTTCCTTGGTCAATTGGTGGGCTGGTGGAATTCAGTCATCCCCCATGAATTCTAAATTTGTCAGTTCGTGCAAATATAGTGCTACCCACTCACTTGAATCAGTCACCCGTGTGACATGATGAAGCGCCCCCTGGGGCCCACAACTTATCACCACAACACTTCAGGACATGCATCCATTCATAGTAGCCATATCAGTGAGCTGGGAATTGATATTCAGATAATATAAACTAATTTGGACTCATTTCTATCAGTTAGAAAGATCTGCATCGGTTGTTCAGAGGTAGAACGCTCATCAACCACCCATCACGTGGTTCAGGGTTCGATCCTCGGCTGACGCACTCCTAAATCTCGCTAAGTCGGTGGTCAGGTCAGTAAAGAGGGAAGTTTGGGCTAGATGGGGCTAGCAAAACCACCCCGTGAAAATGAAATCATTGTTATCGAAACTTCAAATCTCTAGCTTGAAGCTCCATGTTCCACTCTGAATGTAAACGAAGAAAATATAAAAAAGAGAGAGATCTGAAGGTTTCAGCTTCCATTCCTCCAGGTGGTGGGGTAGAGGATAAGCGCTGCTGTGGAGCCACAAAATAAGACGATAAAGCAGCTTTTCAGTGATCCAATTGCTCCGTGACTCTGAAATTAGCTCAAAATCTTCAAAAATCCTTAAATTCGAAAATGTTAACTGAGATTGCGAACTGACATCTCAAACGGTTAGAGAGAAGACCACAGAAAGATCACGATCGAAAGAGAGAGGAGAGTACTGGACATTCGCTCAGTTTCATTCTAGTACTAGGGCCTCTTAAAAACAGTACAGCACAGTACACACACACACACATGATCCCCATGGCTAGGTGCGGAACCGAACCCAGGACCTACAGGTTACACATGATCAGCTCGCTGGAGGAATCTAATCTACAATCACACCCAGAAATCTTAACTTCTGCGAATCCCAGCAATTTCTAAATTATCATTTTTATTATTATAACTACGCATTTTACAGAAAATCAATTTATGTACTACACTGAAAATGCGACGAATAATTGATTTTAGCCAGGAAAATGCACTGAAATCATCGTTATTATTATTACCATCAAAAGTGCATAACTTTATCTAAAATAATATCTAGTCGCGCAAAAATCATCACGAATTGGTAGAAGTTAGGATTCATGGGCTGGTCATTGAATCACGTCTCAGTGGCTAAATAGTGCACGAGCCTGACTCGTAAACGGAAAGTCCTGGGTAAGTGGGTGCGTATTACAAACGAGTCCCAAACTAGGCTGACGAAACAACTAGCTGTCTAGTACTTCTTCCCTGGCTCCTTTTTAGTGGTTCCCTAACAACCATATCAATCTGTAGTCAAACTTGAAACACATCATGAAACATCATGAAACAAAATCATGAAAAATAACACTGTATTTATGAGTGGTAAATTATAGTTTAGGTTGGAGGAACAAAGGTTTGATTCGTCGGTCAGGGACGACTTAGAGTTGTTATCATTACTCTTCCCTTAGGCACAGTGTAACATAGAGCGTCAACCGGGGCACATCTCCACTTAGTCCTATGCTCTGACGTCCTCGTCAGCTGGCTGGCCCCACGACTTCCCATAGACTCTAATCATCTCCATGCCACCCTCGGACCAACACCCAACTAGTCGTTTCTTATTCTGGTTCCAATCGAGTAGTGCTCTGCTGTGCGATTTCATTCAACGGTCTCCCCAGCGTGTCCGGTTCATCCATCTCCATACTCTTTCGCATATTTGTTGAGCAATAGGTTCTTGATTGGTTCGTTGTCTGCAGAAATTTATTGTTGCTAATTCTCACTGGTTGGTCATGTAATCTCCAGCATGGAGCCAACAAAGGGAGCAGCTGTTCATAAAAGTTTGCAGCTGGCTGTTAGAGATACTTTTCGTGAAGCTGCGGTTAAATTTATGATTCATATAGAAGAACTGACTGGCTTAACACTGGTGCGGAAAACTCGGACTTTGTTCTTTATGCTGAGGCGGAATACAGAAGATATTCAAACTAAATTCAGAGTGAGAAAGGCCTGTCTAGCCTTTCCAATGCTGCCTGGTTCTGATACATATATATATATATATCGTCTGAAGGAATACCATTCCATTTGAAGCATGTTCCAATACTACTCCTCTAATTTCGTCAAAAAATTCTTGGCGATTGGGAGAAACTTATTCAACAAATTGTGCGCAAGTAGAGACTACGAATCATTACAGCAATTCGATAGATAACCAAAACAATGTGAAACGGAGTAAATACAGTGAATTTTGACGGAAAGAAATTTTAGATAGCCCAGAGATGGCATCAGGGCAAGGCGTTACTAGCTAGCCTCACCCTTAACCCGCCTTATTTTTTGCCGCCTAAGGGAGTGCATCGGCCTGGAACTGAACTCTGGACCACATGAGCGGTTGAAGAGTAGCCTAGAGCTGACTGAACCGCCATATAAAAATAGTTAAAACTGAAATAATAATTTCTACAAAAACCACCCTGTCGGAGACACAGGCACACAAACGGACACTTACCTACTCCAAAACCGACAGCAACTACCCATATTGCAAGATTCGGTGAACAGGCAGCAATTAGCAAACTGATACACGAACCAAAAGCACCCACAGCCACAACAGGTCGACTTCCGTACCGTTTAGAAAGATGATAATTAACCAGAGCTATAAAAGACAGAGACAAAGTGAAATAAAACATATAAACAGATAATTAATCATTCAATTGCCGGTTTGCAGAGATTTCATTGGCTATAGGATTTCCACACAATGAGCTCAAATCCATCTCTTAGAGAACCATGGGTAAACTTAGAAATACTGCCAGGCAGTTGTTTATTCTCTCTTTAGCAGTAGGCATTCACCCCTCTGGGGTTTGAACCAACCAGGACCTTCCGAGCCCGTCGAACATTAGGCGACGAGGATCCGATCCAAATTCTGCCATTTCATGATATAGCATGACTCGCACTAGCCGATGTTATCCGTGGCGAGTATTCGTCCTCACACCCGACCTGATGTACTGTGCCCCATTGGTCACCAATTACCACTAGAATAACCCAGGTAACTACTAGCTATCTGATGAAAATGGTCAACCACTGCTAGTGAGCATCAGATTGAAATAAAAAACTGGAAGGTCATGGGTAGTTCAAACCCCAATGGGGTCGGTGCGTACTGCTGAAGAGCCACTCCCATGATAAGTGGGACGAAACAGTTGTCTGGAAGTAGCCCCTGTCGGTTTCCCAATGGTTCTCTAACCGATGTCAGTTCATGATGAAATAATCAATGTATATTGCGAATAAAACAGATGAGAAAACACAACAATACATTATATATACTACTAATCGTGTGATATAAGTAGTGCGTGATACTCTATCAGGTAGGAATGCCTGTCTTCTAACCAATCACGCTGGAGCAATTTAAACATACTGAACGGCTGGTCCGACCGTTACGGGTGTCGAGCGTACCAGCCGGTGCGCCCGGTATGACTGACTGCTCATCAGCTAATAGATAGAGCTAAATCTCTTTAAAAACTACACTCTGAATTCTGACATAATCAATGATGTACATCAGCCTGGTGTAAATAATGAATCAACACAATGTCTATAAGAAGGCAGACAAGACCTTCCTGTGAAAATCATATATCACGTGACAGGGGGGACATAAGCTTGTCTAATTAATAGAGTCTAAAGTTCTAGATTCAGTAAACATGCCTCAAGTACTTATTGATATGCTCGCAAAAAAAACTCAAGGACCGACCAGGCAGATGGTGGTGTATTAATTAAAATCTTCACAGTTCGACAGATTCTGACTGACTGACAGATGTGCAGCAGTTCGAGGTGCCATTCTTCCTCCATGTAACACAAAAAAGCAAGAGAAGAGAGAGTGAACAGAAATTCAAAAGAGATAATAAACAGAAGTGTGAGTGTGGGTAAAAGAATAGTAATAATATGGAAGAACAATAGAATTTTATTGCATGATATGACAAATCAGACAAACAGTATCTTCGTCAGAAATCGATAACGAGGATTTCGAGCCATATCACCGTCAATAGTCTCCAGGCGTCATTGGTTCTTAACATCCCGAAGACCCCAACCAGGTAGGCAGGCAGTCTACACCTACACCTACCTACGTGGTGGTTGACTGGCTAGCTTAAACCAACTGATGTTATGGATATCATTGACTTATGAAGCCATGTTTTGGTCTGACCACCCACCACCAGCTAACTCTTTTCCAAACCTGATCCATCCTTTGTCAACTCAGATAACATTTGTATTGAAGAAGACGATCGATGGCAAGGCTAGCATACGTAACACATATCCTAACCATCTCAATAGATGCAGCTGCTTCACAACCTCATCGACCGACTTTTCATCAGTCTTACCTAATACCTGACGCTTAATTACCTCTGAATAATGCTCACCCCGTTACACCGCCACCTAACATAGGGGATAGAACACAGACAACTATGATCACAGACAGCTAACCAGCCTTTTAATGTCCTCCACTTTCAATGGTTGCCATATGTCACTCACAGGCATAAAGGAGGGCGGAGGGAACTGCTGAATAGTTTGACAGATTCTGGACCATAGGGCTTTTCTTTGGCCGGAAGAAGGTATTCGACTCCATCAACCAAGAGGTAATATGTCAACGTTTGGCAGTGAAAGCATTAGCGAGAAAGTTCTATCTCCCCTGTGAAATGCGATAATATGATGCGCAATATTGGCGTCATACATCGAGTGTTAGGTTGACAGGGCAGAAAGTAAATAACCATAAGGCCGTGAAGCAGCTACATTGATTGAGATTGGCTAGGTAGGACATGTGTTGTGCATGCGCCGAGCCTTCAACTTTCTTGTCATACAATGTTGTTGCTGAGCTGCCGACATGAAGTCTTTCTTTCACAGCTGATTTGGAGCCAGTCACATCTAAGGTAGTGTAAAATGACTGACTGCAGATGCTTTGAATCAACGGCTGAAGACTATTGGTAACATAGCTCAAAATCATTCTTGACACCACAGATGCGTTTACTCCTTCCTTGTATAACCTCACAGATGCCCAGATTTCTTGATCAGCATTTACCGCATCAAGCTCCAACTGATAGGTGCCACCTCGACGCGGTGTGGTCGGGTTTGCATATCGCACAATGACCCAATAATAAGCCAAACTAGCTTGAAATAATGTAGGTCCTACCACCATGCTAGAAAGGTTTGAAGTGATTCGGCTATCTGAGCTATAAAAGAAACCTGGTGAACCACTGATGACCTCATCCCACAAAACGAACGAAACAGATGTCCGGTGTGTTTCTGCAGCACTTCGACAATCTGGCCACCTAGTTAGCCAACACTACTGGTTGATGTGATTAGGAGTATACTACGACAACTACTCATCTCAATGGTAATAAGTAGTACATATCGCGCAGCGAAATTTATGCTTGCTGTCTCGACTACCTACCATTATTTGCCTGTGGGCACCACGATAATATACGCCAAACACAAAACTGTCACATCGTTTGTGCAACTGTGGCTGGGATGTATACTGCCCAGGACTGTGGAGCAGAGGGTGGTTGTCTTAAAGAGAGCCACCCCATCCTCCTCTTATGAAACCACCCTTGTCTTGAAGTCAGTCTAATAGAAATTTGTAGTGCAGCCGATCAGCGTCCAGAGTAGCTATGTTCCAATGCACGGCAGTCACCGAAGCAAATTCACAAGTCAATCGATCCGTTCAAGTTCCACATTCATTGTTTTTTTCTCTAGCTTCCAGACAGGTTGTAAGTGCTAGACGTTCGCACTCGCTCTTTCACTTTTGTGAGGAACCTCCAGCACATGCCGCATGAAGGCAGGCAAGAGGAAGTGAGTAGAACTCTTTCCTGGTTACGCAACGCAGGCTATAAACAAGTGGCCATCTCATGAGATTATTTCCTAAGTCTGTGCAAGAAGTGGCTGCACCACCAAGCCGTGTATGGAGAAGTATCATCAATCAGCCCAATAAAATGTCTGTGATCTGATCTGATTTCGGTGGAAATTTTGTCTCCTCGAACTGAGCAAAATGCGGTGTCAAATCTAAATAACAAACACAAGACAGATTATTGATTATTTATATATTTAAAACACAGTAACCTGGTACAGCAAAAGGCGCCAAGAAGATGCGCCACACAATAATAATAATAATTATGATAATAGTGATTATACTATACATGAAAAGAAACAGATAGACAATGAATAAACGACTTCGTCCAGAAAACCAGCAGCCGCCACATTCAACAAGACAAAAGAAGACCATTCGTCAAATTATTGTCAGGGTGGTAAGAAAGAAGGAAATTGCAGCAGCACGTTCGCCATTGATGACTGTGATTCTTGGCCATATCCGACAACTAACATTTCAAGTCAGTCACCGACTCGAGCTATCTCCCTCGGACCCTAACCAGGGGAGGAGTTGTGATGCACTGACCGACGACGCTAACCTAACACAAGTATCCTTCACATCCCATGATGACACGTGATAGGCTGGCCGACCGCTACCTCTCCACTTTTTGCTGCTACTGGATTCAACATAGAACTTGGCACCGAAGTGCAGCAGTTCGAGTTGCCACGTTCCAAACAGCACACAAAGGTAGACAAGAAAATGAGTGAAGAGAATCAATAGAATTTAGACAAGTATAAGAGTGAAACAGAATGAGTAATGGTAGAAAGGAATATGAAAGATTACAGAGACTGAATACATCTGCACCATTGACAACGATTTTGAGCCATGTCACCTAGTGTCTCCAGCCATTGATTCTTAGAGTCTCGAGGGCCCCACCCCGAAAGTCTGCATCTCCCTCACTACCTGACTCAGTTTAACTGTCAAGGATTTCATGGATTGATGAGGCCATGTTTTTGTTTGGCATGGCACCGCTTACTCTTTTCCAACCTGCACCTATATCAGCTAGTAATGCCCGTCGGGGGAGGCGATGGCTAGGCATGCGCAGCACGTCACCTAGCCATCTCAATCTATGTGACTTTATAGCCTCTTCGATTGATTTTCCCTCTTTGCCCAACACTCTACGCCTAACGTCAACATTACTTACCTTATTATACCACCTAACGTGAGAAAGAGATCGTAGACATCCATGATCAAAAGCAGTCAACCTTTTCATGTCTTCAACTCGTATTGGCCATGTTTCAGAGAAGGACGGGGCGAGCTGCTGAGCAGTACACACGTCCCTTGGTTGATAGCCGGATGTCACGCCTACGTCAGAGACGGTGTAAGTTAGCGAAAGCAGCCCGAGCTTTTTGGATCCGTGCTGAGATTTCGTCACCAATCAATCCGTTGGTGCTGATACAACTTCCCAAATAGGTGAAGTGGTCAACATGTTCTATCACTTCACTCCCTATCACTTTTTGCATGCGGTCTCAGGGCTGGCTAGCGAACAGACACCAGTATGAAAGCCTCCTCTGGGATGATGACATTCGTAGCACATGTCCACCAATGTGGCGAAACCTGGAGGTTCCCAGACCACAACGACTGAGTGGCGATCTCCACTGTGTACAAAAACACGCTGCTTGACCATTGAATTACTCACACGATGATGATGTCATGGAACGCAAGCAACAGATCTATGGGGACAGCGATGACTAAATAAGCAGAGTCGCCACACATCCTCACACTACCCGGAGAGGCCAGTTTGTTTCACAGGCGTATAGAGCAATACAGCGCGCGCACCGAAGCAATGTAAACCCGACGTTTGAAGGCAGCCAGGCAAGCTAATGTGATGTTGGTGCTAGGAGTGACTCCAGTAGACGCATGTCAACGTGTAACTTTCATTACGACACGGTTCGTCAAACCTCCGCCAGCACTCATACAGTTAGCTACCCAAATACACGAACTTAAACAAACAACTTCAAGCAGTTCACCACCTGCAAATAGTGAGTGCAGGTATAGGCTCTTGACAATCTTGTAACAGTACTTTGTACTTAGACGGCGCCGCATATCACTCGAGAGATAGTTTATGTATGAAACCTGAATAAATCAGAGCACTCACACTTGGCACACCACCGTTCTTTCTCTCTCTCTCTCCATCAAAAACCCACCCACCCACAGAAATCTCGAATCCGAAGAACAACACCAACAACAACTTTGGAACAACTACATGTAACTTGAGAATAAAACTAAACAATATATCAACAAATTGAAATGCAACAATATATGTTGCAGAATGCGAAACATGCTTTATGCACATGTGCATATGACTTTGGTATTACATGACATCAAAAAATGTAACCATCTAATGAGTTACGCTACATTTCAACTTTGTTATTTTGACATAGACCCACTTGCATTTTGTGTATAATAACATAGAAAATAAATAGACTGACCATAAAACACCCACACAGATCATATGACTACGGGGCAGTAATTTCGCTCGAAATATTACCAAAAGAAACAAAAGAATTATTCAAGTGTTGGTTTGCGGGGATCTCATCGGTTACAGGATTTCATCACGAGCTGACATCGGTCAGAGGACAATTGGAAACTACCGGCATGGAGTACTGGACAGTTGTTGTGTCAGCCTAGTTTGGAACTCTTGGCCGAAAAGAGAAGCTCTTCACTGAAGACTACCATTTGTTCCGGACCAATAACTACTACTACCTGAACTTCGTGGCGGAAGTGGGGGTTATCCGCGTGGCCACATACATAAGAGCATTTTGAAAGTTGAAACCCTAGGCTGCACATACACCAGGTCTTTGTTTATGGAACTGTTGAACAGTTCATCACAACCCATTGCAGTTTCCTGAGAAGTCGAGATACCGAGCATGACCAGATACATGCGGAAAGCCAACAAAAGGAATGCGCCACTACACCTGCAGTCTCACAACACACGACTGGGATATATAAATACTGAAACTCATACCAAAGTTGGATGAAATTCACGCGAACACCGGTAATCCAACCAACACACCTCTTTACTTCAAACACTCCTTGGTGTATCCAAAGAAGTTCAAAAACCGAAAGATCCATATGCTCGACTGCTTAAGCGTGGACACAAAAGCGCTTGATGGACGTGGTTTTTCACGCCTGGAATTACAAAGACCAAAAAGCTACAATATATAGCAAGAACAACAGTTTGAGCACAATAAGATGGTACCATGATTGGTTATATCGTTGGCTTCTCATCAGCACTGAGTAGAGCCTTAAGAAATTGACCAAGTTTATGCACAGAACAATTTTAACATACTTGCAAAAGTGATGGGATGATGTCAGTTAATAAAAAGAAGCGCCAAATTTCTAAATGAACAGTACTCTAAAAATTACACTTATATAGTTTTTACCCAAAGAGAGTTCATGTTTGAACAAAAGTTCACTGCACATATACAATGATAAAGGAGTTGCGCAACAAACATGAGAAGTGAGTAAGATGATGAGTAATTAATAAAGTGGGTAACAATGGGGTGAGTTCAACTTAACTCAAATAACAGAAACAAAAGACAAGCTAAATTACATCATATCAAAGGGAGGAGAGATTAAAGTAAAAGACTACGTAATCAAATAAAGGAGAGAGTGAAAACATCAAGTTGCCAGGTGGAAAGGTTAAGAAAAAACTGATAACTGCTGTTTTCTGAACACATAAATCGGGTTTTAGGCATTTGATGGAAATTTCTTCAGTAAACTTGGAGAGAATTGAGCTTCTTCGTTTAGTGATAATTTTGCAATTAGTAGTGTTCTCTGAGCTGGTTGGTTTAGTTGCGAAGCTTTCATCGTCCTTTTGGACAACATCTCCAGCGCAATTTTCAGCATAAACGATTTTCCGATGTCCACCTCAAGACCCCTTTAAAGAAGACAACTGGCAATGGCACTATTGAAAACACTTGTTCTTTTGAGACATATACTTTTTCGGTACATGTTCAGAAAATCGGAGGTGTGTCCTTATTCTTTCTTTTCTCCCAATGTAACTGCTCCCGCTGATACATGTAAATTTGTATGCATAGAATTGACATGGCAAGAGTATCTGCGGACTTTTGATTGTAACAAAGAGCATGTTGTCCGGTAAACGGGAACCAAGCTACCTAAGTGTAGAGTATATAGGCTCTGATTAGTGACGTATTCAGTCTTCTGTTGCCTAGTCCTGCGGTATAATATCACCTTTAAAATAGAGTTGAATGAAGATAGGCTTTTTTCCCACTGTGATTTGTTTGGCATCTCAAACTTCCGTGCATCTCTCGTACTTATTAATAAATCACCAGGAGTAACCATTGCTCTTCAACATCTTTTCGATAATTAAGACCGCTTGCTCTAATTTCTCCGTACAGCACATTCTTCTGACTGAATAGCAGGTAGTTTTGACTAGTGCTTGCTTTTATAGCTATTTGGACAAAAACTATTAAAATGTAGGCGCTGCCCATTCTATCTCGGCTTTCGGTAAATTGATCTCTGGAGACCACGTTTATTGGACTTACCTGGTAGAGAATATAGAAACGCATTTCGATGGGAAGGAGGGAAGAAAGACAGAAGTTGACCACCCTCAGTCGTATGAACGTTCCCGTCTCATTTTCCCACAAAATATGGATGAAATTCACGACAAAATAATACTAATGATAATAATAATTTCCAGGGAAACTCTTCACAGAACTTACATAAACAATACATCAAGGTATAGATTAAACCACCGGCAAGAAATAAGTAGGCGGATCCACTCTCAAATACTTCTTGAAAAGCTTCCATAACTAGACTGTAGGATTTCCCCAAGCCACCCAAAAGTACGTTGGCAACGAAACCACCTGTTGTTTTTTTCGTACGTGGGGAGGGAAGGGAGAAAAAGACAAAGAATGGGTGAACAGCATTGACAACTAATTAAAAACAATAAGAATAATAGATGAGCTAGGTCGTCCGTTCTCACTATTAATGGGTACTGGAGATTCGATTAGCTTCTGAAGTTTATCGGAAGATTTAACCTAAAATGTACCACTGTATAGAAGATATGTTGACAACATTGTAATTATAAATGATGATAAGCCTTGTTCTGCCACGTCAATATTAAATCGAATGAATGAAGTTCAGGACAACAAGCATATCACTTACGTTAGTATAAGAGAAAGTTACTTGTTTATCTTTCCTAGATGGCCTGATGGATCAATACAACGATCTATTTATAGAAAACCTAAATAGACAGGAAGTCTTAATTATCACAGTCTCTGCCTAGTTCGATACAAAAGAGCCTTAGTGAGTGAGGTATCTCTTCAGTAGAATCCAACGAATATGCACTGAAGACATACTTGATGATGAAGAAAGAAAAATGACGCAAACTCTGGTTGATAATAATTATCCAGACAAGTTGATAAGGAGTGGAACACCAAGACCCAATCTCCAACTCGCAAACCAGGAAAGATGTATATATCAAGCTGCCTTACGCATAAGTGACCATAGCAGTTTGGTAAATCAACAAAGATTGAACGATGAGGTTAAAAAGACTTTTTATGCAGGTAAGATCAGAATAACTGAGAATGTGAGGCCCATATATCCATCTAAGCCCTTAGAACATGTGAAAAATGATGTCACATCCCAATGTATTACCAGTTCAAATGTACTTGTGGACACACAAACATCAGGAGTATTCATAGATCTGTGCAAGTAGGAGCTTCAGGGTATAATAATAATGAGGATTTATTCCCAAACACTGCTCTTAGCGCTTTCTGTGATGAATATGTCCTTCTTGAAGATGTGTTGAAATTCTCCTCTTTTAGACGGATATCGCAGGATTAAGTCTCCAATGGAAACCAAGGGTCACATTAAAAGTATCTTTTTTGGAACTGGTAATGTTTCGTTCACTTGAACTTTGGGTTTGATCTTCTTGATATTAAGTGTTTAGATCACTTGGATCTTTGACTTTGAAAAGACCTTCAGCAGTGTTGATAACGAAGTACTTCAACAGGATGGAGTACAGTGTTACAACACTTTATCCACCTTATTCAACAGCTGGCTGGCTGGCTCGCTATATAACGACACATGTCGAGCAATTCACAATGGAAAACTCAGCGATGCCTGCCTTTGAAGTGAGTGAAGACAGGATTCAGTAAGAGAAAACTACTGACTACTATCACCCACGATGATATTCCTAATTGTTGTGGAGTGGATTATGCAGAACAACGTATGTGGACAGAGAGAGAGAGAAGATATAGGAATATGTCGGACCTATAAGAGAAAACTATAGGAGATGTGGACGTCGCAGACGACTTGTGTCTAATGTCATGTAAAATTCGAAAAATTACAGGTGGGAACCAACAAAGAGTTGGCAGAAAAGACAGCTAGTGAAGACAAGAATCTAAGTGAACATAAAGAACATAGAGGTGATGAAGATAACCAACCGACGACAACAAGCACCAATCACTATCAAAGGGAGAAATTTGAAAGAGGTGACTTCCTACCCCCATCTACATATCTAGTCAAAATCGTTCCAACTACAGGCAGAGACACGAGGGAAGATGCCAGGACTAGGATTGGAAAGGAAAAGTAGATCTTTATCACTCTGAAATCAGCTTGGAAATCTTCTGCACTCCGCCTTAGCGTAAACAACAAAAATCGGGTTTTCAAGACCAATACTGTCAATCAGCTCTTCTATATGGGTCGGAAACTTGGCCAGAGCGTCACGAAAAGCATTTCTAACAACCGGCTTTGCCAACTTTTATCCACAGCTGCCTACTTCGCTAGCTGCTCCATATCGCAGACCAAATGGTCAGTTAGCCAGGAAGAGTTAGCCACAAGAAACTCTGGCAGACAACGAACCAATCAAGAAAGAACCTATTGCCAAATCAACAAATAACCCGAAGAAAATGGAGATGGATGATTTGGACAAACGCTGACGAGACAGTTAAATGACGTCGCCAGTCAGTCAAGTCATCTCACTCGAGTGGAACCCGAATGGGAAGTAAGCGACTTGTTTGGGCGTGGGTTCGAGGGTGACATGGAGGAGATGACAGCCTAGAGGTTATCGTGGAGCCAACTAGCCAGCTGAAAAGCGGCTACAGAGAACAGAATGAAATGAAGATGTGCTCCTCCCCCCCCCCCGCCGGTGGTGAAGCCCTATGTTCCACTCGGGACCCAAAGGAATAATAATAAATTACTCCGGAATGTCTAGCAAGCAAGCAAGCACTCCTGGACGTTGATCTCATCTCAGCATCAATCAGTAATTAACGGCCACGTCTCATCTCACAACCATAAATTATTCTGTAGACCATAATAATTTATCAAACACACGCGCACACATCAACAGAATCTTAATATGTATCTATGTAAGTGGGAGTGCAGTTTATATATACATGCTTACATACCAAATAGTATCAAAACAAAAATGGCATGATTCTTCGTGGAACAAACAAACAAACAAACACACGAGCAAACAGACCTACTAGCACTTAAATACACATTTTGTGTGAAACAGATAAGTAAACGGACGATAAACGTCATTATTATTATCATCATCATCACTATTATTACTAAAATATAATTACGTAATGCACGTAAACATGGTTCGGGCACACACACAAACACAGATGGAGAAACGCACGCACAAACTAAGACACTATGTTAAGTATGCCATACATTCCGAATGTGAATAGACAGATAAATAGATTTGTATATTTTTAAAGTGTATCTTAATCAATGCAATAATAACATTCATAATAATAATAATAACTGTAATAATTTAAATAGACATAAATATACTGTGTGTATAACAGTTTTGAGATAATGGGCTGAGTGAATTCAGTTAAAATACCATTGAAAAATCAGTACTGGACAGCTGTCTCGTCCCACCTAGTTTGGGACTCACTCTTGAACAGTACGCACTGACCCCACTCTGGGTTTCAAACCAACCAGAATCTTACAGTTACAAAGCAGCGACCACGTTAACAACCTTTCAGCCACTGAGACCCGAGGTGATTCAATGGCCAGCCCATGAATTCCAACTTCTGCCAATTCACGCAGGACATAGCGCAACCTGCACTAGCCAATGTCATCGGTGGCGATTATTTGTCCTCACATCCAGCCGACCTGCTGTACTTATCCCACTGGAAACCAGGTAACTACTCCTTGTGTACAGAACCGGTTACTGCTAGAGTGAGCGGCAAATTAATTATGGTTGGTTTCCATGGGGTGAATTCAGTTGGAGAACCGTTAGAAAACCACCATCAAAAGTAGAGATTACTGGACAGCTAGCTAGCTGTTTCGTTCAGTGACTCGTAGTTTGGAACTCAACCCGTTCAACAGTAAGCGATGAACTCGTCATCCTATTAGGAATCGTACTGAAAACAACCACTGGACCTTCAGTCTATGAGTCAAAAATAAATACTTAGCCCCACTTCATATAAATCTGAACCTATGCGAATCTACAATATGACGGCAGTCAATCTGATCTCTTCCTTTAAACCGACATTTCAACAGATGTGTGTGTACTGTGCACAGATTTTGCAGCGGTTCATTCTGTTCTTCTTTACAGACTGTGAATAGGGCACAGTTATTGCAAAAGAGGAGAATATGAAGAGGCTGGTCAGCTAGCTGTCTAGTAATTCCCCGCTACTGGCAGTTTTGAATGCGCTTCTCTTCCCTAACTGATCTCAGTCAATCCGCGATCAAACTTCAAAGCGATCAAATCTCTACACTTAGAAATAACGTTAATTCGAAAAGTTTTGATAATATTTACAATACAAAGGAGATAATCGGTGGCACTCACCAACGACTGTACACCATGCCATTCCACGATCCACATAAACAGTTGACATTTTTCTTTTAAATTTTGTTCTGATAAGAAAACTCAAGGAGAAAAAGTTTCTTCGTATTTACATCAGATACTATATGAACAAAAAATCAAAGAAAAAATAGGATGAGTAAGGACTATTTTCAGCGAATATATGTATCAGTTTTTTTTTAATAAAGCAAGAACAATAGTGGTTTGTGCAGAATACAAGATGGTACCGTCGTTAATCGGACAACAGCATGCTTCTTGCTTAGTGCAGCCAAAAGTCTATAACTACTACTACTTACTACGTTAGATCTAACTGTGTACACAAATTTACATATATCTGCGGTAGCAGTTACATTGCGGGAACAGAAGGGCACACCTCCTACTTTCTGAATTTATACCACAAAAAGCCTACACGTCTCAAGAGAACAAACACTTTCACAATAAGGCTGCTACCATTATGGATAAGATTTTATTTTGATAAGTCACACAGTGTTACACAGTAATATTAACTGATGACGTTTCCAGCACAAATTATTGCTCATTATCATATCAGGTTACTCACACAACTTTCCAACTTCATTTATATACATGTGTGGAATTGACTAGATATTGAAATAAAAATCAATATAGGATAATGTACATTCAGAAATAGTAATATGAGTGTTATTGATCAATTACAATCAGATGGGAAATAAGACGAGTGTTTTTATAGTCATAATAAGTAACTTGTTAGAATGCTGTGATATGCTTGAATTGAAATAGAATTTCAAGATTATTTATTATCCTCCTCTGATTTGACTGACGGTAATAATATCTTCCATATTTCTAGTATTTGCATTGAGTCATTTCTGTTGCATGTGTTGGGTGTAGACTCAATGAACCAGGATTCAGTAATCAATCTTTCTCTCCGCCTACACAGATCACTTCTTAGAATCTTAACTCTCTCCCACCCTATTGTATGGTTGTGTGTTAATGCATGTAGTGCAATTGCTGAGCTTTTTTCTAAACTACGTATCTTCTCAGGGTCAACCATTCTTACCTTAGCTAAATTCTTATGTTCCGACAATATGACTACCCCCGACCTACTAGTTTGACCTATGTAGTTGACCTCACAGTCATTGCAGGGTATTTTGTAAATTATATTATTTTGTTTAATTGGGTCACCGGGTCTTTTAACCTACAGAGCTTGTCCCTGAGTGAGTTTGTAGGTTTAAATGCCACCCTAATTCCTGCTTTATTTAGAATCCTACGTAGGGTCTCAGGTGTACCCTCTTTATATGGTATAACTGTAGATGACTTATATTCTCTCTTATTTATGTTATTATTACTAGTTTCACATGTTCCACAAATGTATATAAATGAAGCGAGAAAGTTGTGTGAGTAGCTTGATAAGATTATGAGCAATAATTTGTGCTGGAAACGTCATCAGTTAATATTACTGTGTAACACTGTGTGACTTACCAAAATAAAATCTTACCCAAGTTTTATACTAATATCAATAGGGCTACTACCAGGTCATGACGTGGACTGCATGAAATCTCTTAAAGCTACCACAATAAACAGAATATTTCAATTATCCTCAAGTTTGTCTAAGCAATCAAACGTTTGAAGTCCGATATACGTGCCTGTGAATGTGTGTTCAAAAAGAAGCAGTTTTCAGTCTTTTCATATTCCCCTGGTAACTGAATGTATTTATTCTCTCTCACTTGATTGCGTGATCTTTGGCTTTAACCTTTCCCCTTTTCCAGCTTTACTATGATGTTATTTTGCTTGTCTCTTGTTTCTATGATTTGAGTTGAACTCACCAACATTAGCTACTCAATTCATTAGTTACTCATCATTTTATTCACCTCTTGTTTTAATGGCGTAACTCCTCTGTCATTGTATCAAAGTATCTTTTGTTTAAACTTTCCTTAACACTGTTTATTAATGTACAGAATATTCCCATTAGAAAAAGACGTGAACAGCAAAGAAAATACTCTCCTTTTCGATGATCTATTTTCATAATCTGCGCAGTAATCGTACTTATATTTAACAATGAATTTATAAAAAACCTATCAGATACTGGTAAAATTTGTCCTCGAAAATGTGTTATGTGATGTAAGGTGTAAGCTGCCAGCTTGCGCATCACATTCTCCATCACATAGTTAATCCAGTCTAACGTTAAGGATAAGATACCGCCGCCCTTGACCACCTTAATGGGTATTTATCAGTTTACTTCCTCGTGTGGAACAAAGTATATCGGCTGTATGCATCGTCAAGTCCACAAACGTGTTCTGGAAAGCTGTGCAGCCTGACTAGCCAACCAGGGGAGAAAAGAAGAATACCAGAAGCTCTATCCTCGAACATACTGTCAACTCTGGACATCGAGCACCCCCACCGGCATCACTGTTCCCCAGTGCTACACAGAGTCCCTCATTATCACATGAAAAAATTTCGAATAAGCCAGCTATACGAAGCTGTATCACACAACGCCCTAGCTGTTCGGGATCGGGAAACCGGACCTCTGATTTCAAAAGCACTACATACATTCACTCGCCCTACCGTGACCACAGTAAAGTTTTCAGCATAATAACGCTTCATTTCATTATGTAAGTCTACTATCATTATTATTGTTATCATTATTATTATTATCATTATTCTAATCATACTTATTTTATTATCACTCTATAATTGTTTACTAATAGCATTGCATTCCCATAGAGCGGTTCGGATGCTCGCCAACCACGCAAATGGTCCGGGGTTCGATCCCCGGCCGACGCACACCTGATATCAATGGTTGGACTGCTAAATTTGGGCTACCGATATCACATCCCGAAAGTTCCATAGCTGCACTAAAATATTGTGTGGAATCTAGCTATGATAAAAAGTAAGAAAATGAAAACATTGCCGCCTTTCCACTAGTTTTTGTCCACTCATTTTCTCACACCTATTGCGTCATCCCAACTTCTGCCCCTTACTTTTCTAATCTCCAGTTAGTCATCCCCTTCTAGATTACACCTCACGATTTATGTAATACATTTTCTAGGACACATTTTACCAGTATTTGTGAGTTTGTGTGAGTTTTTTTTGTTAAATACAAATACGATTATTGTACAATAACCTATGGAAATGAATCGTAGAAAAGAAAATTTTCGTCGCTGTTTGCGTCTTTTTCTTATGACTGTTTATTAAGTTTGAGGTCTCTTCTATCATTCACTGACATCATGTTGCACTTGTTCTCCACGCAAACTTAGTTAATTTCTTCTGGCTGTACACACAGAGTTGACGAGAAGCCAACGAAATATAAAATGATGGTACCATCTCATCTTATTCTGTCTACACAAACCGCTGCCGTTGTTGTCGCTCAATTCAAATTCATAAAATGGGGAATAAGTGTATTATATACAAATATATGTCTCATAAAGTAAATTACTTCTCAAATGAGGTTGTAAAACACAAAAATTTGAATAAGAGAATAGTAAGTGTACGCTTACAAAATAGTGGGTGAGACTGAGCACTGGTGTTAAATCACCAAAGAGCTTACCTGGTAGGTGATTGTTTGAGGCCAGTCACACACACACACACATCCACTCTCTGAAGCGATTTTTACACTTGTGTCTGTGAAAAGATTTTACCACTGGCTATGGATATCACCACAAGACAATTCACGGTGTGCAATTTTCACGGTCAACTTTTTCTAACCACCACTCTCCACCCAGACGCACCTACCTCACCAGAGTGCAAAGAGAGCATAGTACATGTCCGCGAGCCAACAGTGAGACTTACACTATAATGCCAACTGCCATTCAGTTTGATCGCTATCCAAAAGACCTTTGCAGGATGGTAAGATATGCAGAAAAAATTCAGTCCAGCCAGTGCAACTGGTCGATCGAGTGGCGGTGGAGATATTACGCAAAGCAGAACTACTAACATCAAGGTTGTATCAAATGGTCACCCTATACCACAACCTTAAATATCCAAAAATTGTAACGAAACCTCTATTAAGAGAGCGACTAAGCTTCACTTTGCGCAGAAGTACTGCGGCAGCACTTTAAGTTGCCGGACTCCTCCCTTCATGTAGTACGCAAAGGAAGAGGAATGAGCAAAAAGAGAGGTTCAAAAGAATTATAATCAGCAAACAAATGTACCAGACTTGAGACTGACTGGTTTCAACACAAAACTACTTAGCACAGATGTCCAGCACTAAGTTGCCACTTCTTCCATATACCACACAGCAAGATTTCACTATCCCACCTTACACTTTTTCAGCATTGCTTGTCTCCCTTTTTAGTCTTCCTTTGTATGCTACATGGTGTGGCAACTGGAACTGCAGCAGGATTTCTATGCAAAGTAGTTCCATGTTGATACTCAGTCATTTTGTTCCGTTTAAATATCTACTTACGAGTTTACAGTTTACGCTGAGACATCACTCAAACGAGAGCTTCAGGAATAGTGACAGTTACCACTTGACTTTTCTTAACAACTCATATCATCATTGTCAGCATAGCAGAACTCTTCAGACACTGAGTTTGAATGCTGTGAAAACCTAGTGAACATAAACTGGTTGAATAGAGAAGGGACTTCCTCAATAAACTGAGCCTTTCAAACGTCTACGCGTCCCTTGGGATTAGATTACACGACTTTATTCCACCGTCAAATGTATTAATAAAGTATAGTCAAACGAGCGACCGCAACAGCCTTTCGTTGCCTGATGCACATCATACACTTACTACTTTACAGCATTTTTTTGAATTTATATGATGAAAGCACACAGTGGTAGATTATTATTTACTGATAAAGTCCTCAACACACTTTAAAGCTCATAATAACATCAAGGCGACAAAACTTTTCCGTAAGGCTGGATTAGATTGGTAGACACTTGGAGGCCATTAGACCCGAACGTCGTGCAATCCTAACAGGTTTTTGAGATACCAGTGGTTACTTGGAGACTTCTTATAATATTTCTCACCACCAGAATAATAAGCGTGGCGTTTAAGCCATCACTCACTCTAACTCTCACTGAAACTGGAATATACGTAGCTTAGATAAAACCTCGGCAATCGTAATGCATACATAAATACACGATCACAGTAGGGCATGACACAGCTATAATTCTAAACAGTAGTTTACTTAGGTGAAGGGAGAGTTACCAACCACAAAATCTTTATTCCCCAATTCTACACCTAACACGTGTAGTAGTAACAATGACGCAACGCCAATACCAGAGACATTGGTAATAATGCTGCCAGTTAAATCAAGGGATGAAAATAATGGGATTAGACGCAAGTTTGAAAGTTGAGTCTTCACGCGGTTATCAGCAAAATTGTCCTCTAAAATGACTTTTAATAACTTGTTTTAATCAAGAGAAATTCCGTTAATAAACAGACGGTCACCGCACAATAACTGCACTAGTTCACACCGAGTGATGACATCCCATGAGTATCAACAAATTCGCTTAACACATACATCTATTCTACTTTATTTTTACTAAACGTACTAATAAATATTATCCCTAAAAAAACACCGAGTCGCTCCCAAGCCAACCGATGTTATAATTTCAAAGTAAACAGTCAAATTATGTGTATTAATTAAACCAAACAATAAAATCAGCATTTGATACAGGTATTTCGGGATTACTGAACCATTACAATATTGACCATTGCTTAAACCATCGAAATTTACAAGCAAATAAGTACAGACACGTTGAAATAATATAGACTTTAGACACACGACTGAGTTAATACACCTCAATTCGACAAGTACGCATTGCAGAATTAAAATTCGGACTTCACTCCCTATACGAGCCCATAAAACTGACTCAACAACACACTTTTTCTCGTTACAGGCATACCCAATTACAAACACGGAGCCTGATTTCACCACCAAAATATTTAATTAGACAATTTTTATTCCATACAGATAAGAAATAATAGAGTTACCACCTTAGAAAGTCATGCCCAACGTCAAATTGAAAAATTTCACCGCCAAAAGAAATGGCCTTGAGTTCATGTATCATAGATATGACCTATTAAAAGTGACAGCTTCATACACACAGCTAGTAGGCAGACAAGAAAAACTTCCGTGTGTCTACGAATAAGGAAGACTGTCTAAATCTTTGGCTACCAAATAAGCCATCATTATAATGCATCAAATGTCTCGTGTTCATTTTTTCCAACCTGTTTACACTGGCGAATATTTAAAATGCCTACAGCCTGTGGATTTGCGAATCTCTACCAAACCTAAGAAAAAGCAATATGGTGGGTGGAAGCGTGCTTTACAATGTATTCCTATATATCAAATGATCGTTCCTGAGATTATGAGCACTAACTGTCGTTCCCTACCAAGTGAAATTTAACTGTCTACAGTCCCTTGTTTCCTTATATGTATAATGCAATGCAGGAATTAATGTTCTTCAGGAAATCTGGCTACACGATCTATATGATGATAATCTAGTTTGTCTAAATGGTGTCAAATTATTTAGACAGGATCAGTGTAGCCCCAAAAAGAAATGTGGCGATAGCGTGGCAACCTTCATCAATTCTCAGGGTTGTACTTCAGATTCAGATTCATTGTGTTTTAGATTCTCTTGTGGCAAAACTTTCCCCCTCACTGTTAGATGTCGACCAAAACATATGCCCAAATATAACTATAAATACCCTTCAAACATTCATACGGCACCTGAATGTAGTGTCTCAGAACTATCCTTTGCGTCCACTTTTGGAAATTTCTTGTCAGTGGTTACTGATGACCTCCGTTATTGTGACCACAGTTTCGTTACGTTATAAGGTCATGAAAATATTGCCAACTTCTCAAAACTACTAGAAAATACCCGTGTTCTAGTGTTTACAAGTGAATTCGGCATATTTAGAGCTCAGGAATGAGTCCCACTACTTAATTCTGGCCACTGCATCACATGCATATTGTGCAAAATACATGGAAAGCTTCACAAAAAGTTTTCCCGAATCTTGGCAATAAAACGCAACGTAGATGTCAGTACCATGTTGAAAAATAGGGCAAAGTTAAACTTTAGACACCAGTAACAACCAATCAGCAAACAACCTTGAACGGACTAATCCCATGAGAGAGGCGTTTATGATAAGTGGTAATGTATATTTATAGAAAAATGCATAAAAAATAGGATAAAACAGCTACAACGGGTATCTTTCGCCAACATGGGACAGAGACATTTCCCAATTCAGCATCGGACTGTCAATAGAAGAGGCGCACCACATTCTCTACATATATTCATCTAAATGACTATAAATGAGATCCTTTTAGGATCCATTTATAGCCCTTATCCGATTTTTCAACCGGCACCAAAATCCTTCAATAGAATTTGTATGAGTTCCGGTTACTGGATCCACAAAATCGTTTGAATGGTTCACTCGGTGATGACTATATCCCAAGGATGAAAGCGAATTATAACCTTTCCACTCGTCCGTGTGTATAATTGAACCCTGTTTGACAAGTCTCGTTATAATAGGTATTAACGTAGTCGCCTTTCTATCTCCTATTCTTTCAAAGAATCCCTTTCGGAGGGAAGTATCATACAAACCTATAACCTAGATATTATTCGCTCTCTGGCGACCACGATTGTATTTCTTCTTCAGCAACACAGTCTCATCCAAGTGCACTACAACGCCGTCCCCGCCCAACAACGAGGTAATCTCCATCTTCCAAGATGCAATATCTCTACAATGCTGGTACCATTGGACTGTTGAGACGAGGCTGTCCTCCGTCTCGGCAGCTGCAGCTCTCACTGGCTGTTTCAATACCCAGTAGTTGCAGATATATAAATTTTGCGTCAACGAGAGGTGTGACCTTGCAAAAAAAGTTCCTACGAAATATTAAAATTATCAACTTACCTTCTCTAATGCTAACACGCTTGGAGCATATAGCACAACGATGGACAAATCCATCAATTGACCTACTATAGCTTTTTAAGGTCATGATATCCCCACACGGACAAGTTCCCTCATTCCGAGGCAACCCTAAATCCAGACAATACTGCAAAACAGTGTCCTCCTCGAATTGCAAACGTAACCTTGTAAGGGCACGCATATGAAATGAATCAAGCACTATACAACATTGAACTACGTTCGTGAATCTCATTGGATAAATCGACGTCGTTCGCTGATTGGTAGTTACTGGTGTCTAAAGTTTTACTTGGCCAAAAATAGAGTGTAAAAAGCATGTTAAAGGATACAAACCGTGACTTATTTACTAAAAATGTTCTAGATGACACAATCACAAGCGCAACGTGTTACCTCGAACCCTGCCCTGATGTCTTTTATCTAAAGGAGACACTCTTCTTGAGACTTGACCGTTCGTCCTCTTCCCAGCTCAAAAGGCTTAGTCTAGAAAAAGAAAGTTTATACAAAATTAAAGACAGTGCTGGTGTTGAGAGACTGAAAATTTTAATTAAACCAAAATGCAGAGATCAAATATCATCTATAACTAAAAGTTCTTATTATAAAAAGCCCTATCAAGCTGTTAAGGAGATCAACGGCGGTAAGCAAATATATAATGATCCTTACTTATTTGATGCTGATACTCTGAATAATTCCTTCATATGTCGTCCAGCTGATGTTATGATCTTAAACAGGTGTATATGACTGAAATTAGAACCCCAATGGTTAAGGAGAGCGAAATGCAACTTGTTTCTACTCTTCAAAGTCATCAGGAAACACTGCTACAGCAACTCATTCATGATGTGGGCAAATATCAAATCATATCAGCTGCGAAACTACGACTACCTTCTCGAGGTGGCTACCCACAGGAATACCATTAGGAAAAACTTTTTCACCATTATATATTGCACTCTTTGGAACCAACTACCATCTGAAAGTAAATGTTGTGAAAACCACGATGGGTTTAAACGGAGCCTAGAAAGACACATCAACGTATGCACCCCAGCCCCTGTGAAAGGCCGAAATTTTTGGTAGAATGGTTAATGAAAGCCAGTCCAGTTTTTCAGTGTAGTCAGTTACACATAATACTAGTGTCGACGGACACTGAAGCACAGCAAGTCACCTGTATAGTGTTGGAAAAAAAATCGGCAAGTAAAAGCGACTCGAAACTCAGTAAGAGCAGTGTCACTGGGTGCAATCCTAAAGTACATGAGAGCACATCTGGAAAACCTGCTGATATACATGAGGTTGATATTGACTCACAAACTATGTCTGACCAGAAACCACTGGCAGACCACACTCAATCTGGATGCAAGCCCGAGAGTCCCGCAGTAGAAACTGCAAGAAAGACGACAAAGCCTAGAGTCCCACTCCAGACTTCGACTTACCTCCCTCTCAATAAGTCTAATAAGCAACATGTCAGTCTAAAAAAAGACAATGCATGGGTAAAAAACCATATTCCCAAAAAAGTCATCCATCATGTGAATGGGAACACCCCTTCCCGAACTAGGAGTAATATACATAGCAACGCACATAACTTGGGAATGCAACGTAGAACGGATCATCAGGATATAAGGAGCACTAAACGGGGCTCGTATAGGCACCATATTAATACATATTCTTGTCCAAACTCTCACACTATCTATGTTGAACCTCAGCAACATAATGAGTATAGATAGACACATCACCCTCACAATAACTTCACTCACACATGTGATGTGAGCCAATATGCATACGACTATGAAAGACCCATGAGGTACAACTACCAAGGTAATCTTAACACAGGGTACCTAGGTCAAGCAAACTATATATCACCAGCAAATGAACGCAGATGCCCACCCATGGATGCTAAAAGTCAAAACATGCAACAGGATTATTTTCGGATGCAGCAAACAATAGCCCCGCTCGCTGCACAATTCATCCAGGAAATAGTACACACACTGACTCTGTCTCACCTCAGAGCCCCTCCAAACATAACGTAGGGATAGAAACAAGTAACCATGTTAACCTCTCCTCCAATAACTCTGGTTTACTAACGATTATGCTCCTGAATGCTAGATCTCTCCTTAACAAAATAACATCGCTTCGCTGCCTGGCATACATAGAACGGCCAACACTAATAATGGTGACTGAAACCTGGCTTACTACTGATATACCTGACTCAAAGCTAGTAATAGACAACTACGACATCTATAGGAACGATAGAGTTGACAAAAGAGGAGGCGGCTGCTTAATATATGCCTCTAAATCCACTAACTCCAATACTTTCAATAACCCAACTACTGACAAACTCCCTGAATCTAATTGGACAAGCATCCACACAAACGAAAATAAAATTCTCGTGGGATGTATATACAGACCCCCTAATAGCTCTGAAATGACTGATATAACTATTGGAGAAATACTAGAGCATGCAGCTACGCTGGACTTTGACTACAAAGTAGTTTGTGGCGATTTCAACCTACCTGGAGTAAACTGGGATACCTGTACAGGACCTAGAATCCATGACGAGCTACTACAAGCTATAGACGTAGGCCGATGGAAGCAGTGCGTACGCCTCCCTACAAGAAATGAAAACACTCTTGACTTAATCCTTTGTCATGAAATTGAGCCCATCTCGATAGAGGTAGGAAATAAACTTGATAACAGTGATCACAACATATTGTACTGCACGCTACCATTCCGACTAACAACTAAACACACACCTAAAAATTCCCCGGTGCACTATCAGTATAGGGACTATAAGAATGCCGATTGGGAATTCCTATCAGATCTGCTGAGAAGTTCTGACTGGGAAGAATACTTCATTAACAATAACTTAGAAGTATCACTCGATATTTTCTACAAAACAATTGGCTCAGCAAGAGACATAATCGCGCCCCTAAAATCTGCTCTAAAGACACCAACTCCATTTATAGACCGCAAAACGCGACTAAAACTAAAGAAATTGAAAAGAAAATACCATGTATTTAAGGAATTTAATGCGTTAAACCAAATACATGAAACTCTCAAACGGCTCGAAGATAAACACAAAATGATGTCACAACTTGAAGAAAATAAAGCGCTTGTGGGTAACTCCAAAACTCAGGA